ATCACACACAGTGTCATAAACCAGTGTTACCTTAAAAAATATATATGTGTTGAGTAAAGCACTTCTTCTGTTCTTTATAGTTATATATACAAAGATTTCATAATTGTCATTATCATGTAGAATCTAAAGGAAGTTTTATTTTTTATGCTTAACATCTTTTATACCTAGTCTCCATGAATCCAGATGACTCACACATTTGTCATTTTAGTGGCAGTGCTGCCACTGCCACTAAAATGGTGGGATTGGTGGTTCTGCCCAGGGTACAGTCACAACAGGATGCTAATGTGCCAAAGAAGCTTCTCTGGTGCAGGCTCTCCAGGAATCTAATTGCATGAGAGTTGTAAGGAGCCTAATGGGAAGCAGAGAAAAACCATCCTAAAATGAAATAAACCATGAAACCATGAAAATTCTCATTAAAAGAACAAATATATCATAGGGAAAGAGGCATTTTTCCATGGTAAGAATGGGTTCTGGGGCCTCCCCGGTGGCGCAGCGGTTGAGCGCTGGGTTGCGAAGCTGCCCATGGCCTCTGTGGCACCAGTTCGATCCCGGGCTGCTCCCTGGCCACTGGAGGAGGGTCCCGCGTGGCGCGCAGACCTCTCCTGCTGCCTGCTGCTCCCCTCAGCAGTGTACTTCGGTCCTTCTGCCTGCTCTGCTCCCAGCTCTGGCTCTGGTGAATTCTCTCACCCTCCCGCACTTCTGACTGTACCCAGTGCTTGTATAAACAAAACAAACAAACAAATAAATAAAAATCATTTAAAAAAAAAGAGAGAATGGGTTCTGTCCTAAAGTAGGACACAATGTTTGGAGGTGATACCATCATTACCTTTTAAAAGTTGAAATATTCTCATTCTTATATTAAGGTAAATATAAACAAAAATAATGCTTATTTTAAAACTGACCATATTAAGTAAATTTATCAGGCTCCCTGATTCATTCTTAAAAGACATGATTTAAGCAGTATTCTGAACATGATCACTTTGGAAAATTTTGACTAAAATAACACTGTCACAGAATAAAAATTTTGCTAATCTCTCAAAACACAAACAAGATTATTATACAATTCAAAGTACAATTCAACATTAGTTAGGTCCAAGTCAGACCTATTTCAAAGTTAGTAGGAGATTAGTTACTGAAATACCAAGAGGTCCAGATTTTACCGATGAGACAGCCAGTCAACACTGACTGAAAGGATGGCATAACTTCAGGACTGTGGTATACACCAGGTATCATAGAGATGAAAGAAGTATCACGAGGATATGTCAGATATTTAAGCTATAGAAATGCCAAGAAAAAGTTTCCAGTTACTTAGAGCTTACTTCTTTTAGGGAATTATAATAAGTCAAGACATTTAACAAAGAACAAATATAAAGTCAGTTTTGGCAAGGTAAAATTTAAAGTGCTTTTTTTTTTAAAAAGATTTACTTATTTATTTATACAAGCAATGGGTACAGCTGGAAGCACGGGAGGGTGAGAGAATTCACCAGAGGCAGACAGAGGACACTGCTGAGGGGAGCAGCGGGCACGGCAGGAGAGGCCTGTGCTCCATGTGGGACCCTCGCCGGTTGCGGGGATTGAACTGGCGCTGCAGAGGCTGTGGGCAACTTTGCAGCCCAGTGTTCAACCGCTGCCTCACCTGGGATGCCCTAAAGTGCTTTTTGAAAACTGTTTCTGGAATCCAGAAACTTGTTTTGTACATATTTTTATTATAAATACTTTATTTCCCACTTAATTATTTAAAAGCAAATTATCCTTAAATTTAAAAGATTTACAAGTCCCTATATAGCACAAACACAAACACACCAAATTCAAATGATTGACTGACACCTAAAAACAAAACTAGTATGGGTATAACTTCACTTTACAATGATTTACCAAGCGTAAACTTTAAAACTCATGCTGTTTAGAATGCTAGTCTTTTTTATTAGTAATAAATCCTAGGTCTATACATCATAATTAGTACCTTAAAGGGGAAAGTTGTAGGTGGTTTAATATCCAATACCCCTTGTTATTTTTCACAATACAAAGTTACCTTTGTCAGTCTCCATTTGAAAAAAAAAAAAAGTTTATTGTGTGTTATTTGGGATTTGTACTGCTTTCCTTGTTGACACAATGTTGTAAATGGTAATGAAAATTCTACCAAAATCTATTGGCCTAGTATAACTGATGTATGCATAGTACCATGTCCCGAAATTCCTCTTTGACTAGCAGAAAATGTTTCTGCTAGTCATTTTCTGACTAGCAGAAAATGTTTCAGTGCATGGCTCAAACATCCTTCCTGTATTGCAAAACTTTATTCAGAAAATTCCCAAAGGAAATGAGTTGACTCACTTCACACTATAACAAAAGTCTAAATGATCTCACTCAGTCTCTAGTCTCTCCTTCCTCTATTCTGTCCTCAAGCATATTGCCAGTTATTTTAACTGAAAACCTGGTTGTTGTCACACTCCTACTTTAAAAACCTTTAATGCCATGCTTTCCTATGGGCTAAAGTCCAAACCCCTTATCACAGTGAGACACAGGGCAAGCTAGAAATTAGGCAGTTTTAGGGACAGTGCAGGAGGGGACCTCTGAAGAATTCAGGGAGGCTTCAGAGATAAGGACAACCAAGGGAATGTAACCAATTCCACTAGGAAAAACAAACATCTCAGAACCAAGGACAATATTGTTAACAATGGTAACCTGGTTTCCTTCAGGTGGTAAAGGGAGGCAGAGATTGGAGAAATGGAGAATGGTTTAATTTATGGACACATTAGAAGGGCGGCTGTTTAACTTCAATGCAGGGATGCCCATCCAGAAGACTGGGCCATAAAGATAAAGATGCAACAAATGGGGAAAGAGAAAGCTGTTAGATAAGGAATGTGAAGATGCCCCACTCAGTAGCAAATTAAGTGAGACAGCTGAGACTAATCAATCACAAAAAGACTGGTGGAGTTTTAGAATAATGAGGGAAATAAGGTATATATTCCCTGAGACACAACTCCACTTTGGCTTCCTTGCCCCTCCCAGGCCTGGTTCCCTGGCCTGGGAGTCCCACTTTATTTCTGCTCTTTTTCTCCTCAATAAACTTTTTCTTTCTCTAAACAAACCTGCCTCTTCTCGCTTGCTTGCCTGAGCATCTGCGAAGTTCCTGCTGCGGCTTCGTGAGACACCAACCCGTGGGGGTCTAGTGGCTGGGGCTCAGCGCTGCCCTGCAGCCTGGGATCCGTTCCTGGCTGGGAGACTAGGCCTGACAATTCCGGTATCAACAGAATAGAAAGCTTTTCCTAACTGGTACCAACCTGCCTTAGTTTTTTCTTTGCTTGTCTTTCATAAAAAATCCCTGGAAACATTACCATCATTCCCCAACAAGCCATGTTCTTTCAGCCCTCCATACTCTTGCAAAAACTCTTTCTTTTGATGAGAATGCTATCCTGTCCCTTCACTTGAACATTCGTCAGTATACATCAGTTCGAATAATCCCTTCATAAAACCAACATCTCTCAAGTAGACTTAACATATTTGGTCACCCTTTATCCCTCTACAAGTACGAAGAAAGGTGTGTACAGTAATTTGATAAATGTTGATTGAATTATGAAAGCATACACATGCTTAAATGAGGGACTGACCATAAACCGTTAAAGCTACAGTTAAAAAACTTAAGGATATTCCATTCATCTATATGAAGGTATGCAATAATACATAAATACTAAAAATAGTCAAATATATTTGCAAACACAGATCATGAATTACTGAAACCCCAAATATATAATCTATTTCACTTAAAATATTAGTCAAACGCTAATCATTTAGAATATCAGGCAAAAACAGTCTTAACTAGAAAAGATTGGTAGCTTCCTATTCAATAAAGTTTCAGTATTTAGAACTTCAAAACTCCCACAATGGGGAAAATTTACTTAATTGTAAAAAAGCATAAGCCAAAGATTAAAAATGTAATTAGTTTCCTGAAGGTCAGCAGTCCTGCACTGAAATCTTCAGTCATCACCTTTGAACAACGCTGAAGGCAAGGATTTAGATTTAAAAAAAAAAAAAAGTAAACCATTCTCCATCGTACTCTACTACTGATGGAGAAAATACAACCATGCAAACAATATTTTAATACGAGTCAAAATAAATAAAGTTGCTTCCAGAAAAAGGCCAGAGTGTTGGAGATTTGTATCCACTATGTTTAGGCATCTCCAATACAAATACCTTACATACTCAAAGGTGGTGTCACCATTCGAAAGGAATTTCACATAAATGACTTAATTATTAGGATAAATCCTCTGAGTAATCAGAGCAGGGATTCTTTGGCCGGATGTAAGACTAATTAGTAGCCCAGTAAAAATGCAGATAAAAGATTGGCTATAGAAATGTAGCACTTTGTTTCCAAAAAGAAGTATTCTTACTACCACGGAATGGTCCAATAAAACTGAACCTCCTACCCATTCCATCGCTAAATTTAGCTTTGTGGACGTACCGATTACCGTGATAATAAACAAAATATATTTTTACATATATGTGTCAAATAATGATGACCTGAACAAAAGTTCCATCTCCCAGTCTCTCTCTTTGCAAGGGACATTAACTCTACAGAAGCAAAATCAAGCTCAGTTTCTCAAAGCAATTTCAAGAGGCACACAGGGAGCTCGGCGCGCACCGGGTCTCCGGGGCTCTCAGCAGATTCCCCGAGGTCAGTCAGTCAGACCCAGAGCAGACCCGGGAGAGTCTGGGGGACCCAGCTTTGCGCGAGATGGGGGTAGGGCGCGCCGCAAAGGGCTCTGCCGAGCAGGAGACAGGAACAGGAACCAGACAAGAGAACAGTGCCAAGAGGGTTTGGGGCGCCAGATCCCGAGCCTCAAGTCTGAGCACTATCCACACTCCGCTGGAGTGGCTCCTCCTCCCAATCCCAAATCCAGTCCCCAGGGCAGGCCTCCCCACTCCCAGTCACCACCGGTTAACTCCGAGCGTCCCAGTTCTAGAAAACCCAATCCCAAGGGACCCCAGGGGTGGACACCCACCTGGCGGCACCCCACCGAGGACTGGGCCGACAAAGCCCAACACCAGCAGCCACTGGAGGCGGAGAGTCCCAAAGGGCGAGCCCGCGCCCGATCTCATCTCCGCGGATTCCGCAGGTTCCCCTCAGCACTCGCTCACTTCTGCCTCCGCCTGCTCCATCACTCCCCAGCCCTGCCGGGGCCTCCGCGCTGGCCCGGGTGCGCGCGCCCGGGGACGAACACGCGCTCGGCTCTGACGCAACTCGGCTGAGTCCGAGCTCACCCCGACATCGCGCTCGGGTGAAATCGCGCTGACGTAGGGAAAAACTCAGTCCCTGGCGGGAGAACTGGCTTTCCGTCTCGGACTCTAAAACCCTCCCTAAGTCGGCCCCACCCATTCACTACCCGCCCCGCCCACTCTACACCCAAGCCCGCCCACTTGGACGGGGGGGGGTCTTAGGAACCAAAAGGAGGATGCCCTGGGAGCAAAAGGAGGAGGAGCGCGAGGCCCGGAGGAGGAATAGAGAAGCACCAGGAAGGCGCAGACCCGCCCCCCTGCTTAGCCCTTTCGGATTGGCTGCAGGGAGATGGGCGGATCGCCGAGTTGCGCGCCCATTGGCTGTTTGGCTAAGGGGCTGCGCAGAGAGGTCCGGCCTGGCAGGGCTTGGGTCGGCGGCCCCGGCTGGGATTGTGGTCGAGGCCGGGTCTCCGCCACTGGGCCCGTGAGGATGGTGCTGGGTGGCTGCCCGGTGAGTTACTTACTTCTGTGCGGCCAGGCGGCTTTGCTACTGGGGAATTTACTTCTCCTGCACTGTGTCTCTCGGAGCCACTCGCACAACGCGACCGCAGAGCCCGAGCTCACATCCGCTGGCGCCGCCCATCCGGAGGGCTCCGCGGGCCCCAGAGCTGGGAATATGGCGACCCCCATTCTCCAGTCATCCTTTGCTCTTACCTGTAAGCTACGCAGTGCTCGGGACGGGTGGAGATGGGGCTGGGATACAGGGGTGTTGGGCGGCGGGAGAGGAAGTAGGCCACTTTTTTTTCTTCAAACCCTCTCTAGCTAAGGACCTGGTAGTCAGGGCGCTGGAGGTAAAATATCATGACAGGTCTCTCATTCCTCTCAAATGTGCAGGGGAAAATCATGTGTGTCAGTGACAGATCCTTTGTGATCCCTAAAGAAAATAACTATGGGAGGAGTGACATTAGTAGCCTCCGAAAGAAGAGTACGAGATTGTGCCTTCCCGTTCCTGCTCCCTGTAACCATCGTAGATGATGGTAATAGAGTGAGGCACGAGTGGAGTTAATTACTCGTCCCTGCCTATGAGACACTCTCTATTAAAAAAAAAAGTATTATTACCGTTGCAGAACCAAGTCATTTTTTAACATCTCTTTTTAGTTAAATAAAAAACCGTTTGGGAAATAGAAAGAAAACTAGGAATCCTTTGGCTTTGATTTACCCCCACAGCCTTAATGACTGTTTGCCTAGGGGAGAGATGAAGCCATGGTAGAAGTAGAATCCATGTAGAAATAAGACCAGAAACATTCCTCTTCCATATTAGAAAGGTCATTTAGATAGCTGTGGTTTTGTCTACTTGAAACTATCTCTTGTGTCAAGGAAGAGTCAGAATGAAATTAAATCCTAGAAGAATTCTGAAGAAATTGTCTTTTGCCAAGTTATAAACTTGTGAACATCCCTTTGCAGACACTGTATAATGATTATGCTCTTACTGCTGATTTACAGACCTGATGAATTTATTGATTGTGACCCCCCAGTGGATCATGTTGGAAATACAACTGCATCCCAGGAACTTGGTTATGGTTGTCTCAAGGTGGGTTTTTTGATTCGTTCTCCCATAGAGAAAAAGCTTGACTAAATGCTGTTACAGAAAAGCATAAAGGATATGAAATTTTCTTTTTGTAGAATTCATTACAATGATTATTAGTGGAGATTTCTAGTATGGCAAGGGTAGTGTCTGATCAAAATTTTTATTTTCCTTAGAAAGAAACCGTCTCTCTGCCAAAACTACCCAGGTGCAAAGACCAACCTGTTCTTGGTTCCTTTGGTAATTGCAATTGAGAGATGCTAAAATGGTCCCCCTCTCCTCCTTACTATCCTTCAAGTCATGTGCTTCCACCATGTTCTTAGGAAATAGGGTCATGTCTTTGTATGAGATTAAAGCATTCAAGAAGAAACCTTGGTAACAATGGCTTCTTGGGATGGAAAGAAGCCATTTAGTTCCATTAATAGTATTCTTAAACCTCTGTGCACATTTTCTACTCAGTCTCCCAAAAATCACTGAAGTTCATATACCTCCTTTCTACTGTGGACTCACCATTATTATATTATGCAATATAATTGCAGGTCAAGACACAGTCAGATGTAAGAAAACTATGGAGAAATATTCCTTGCATTAAGTCAGACACAGAGGAATAAACCTGAAAGTAATAAGACCCCCTCCCAAAAAAAAACCACCTTACTGCAGTCATGTTTAAAGAAATATTTTCAATACAATGAGTTTTGGTTATATGAATAATTAGTGAATAAAAGTTTGAGTTATCGTTGTATAGACAGCACTTAATTTTGCCCATATTAATTAAAAACTGAATTGATCCTGTCAAGGCACTCAGACTATCACTTCCCCCAAAAATCTTGGGGGACTGACAATACTCAGGCACCTGGGTCCCAAGGAAGGTTCAAGGAGGGAGTATCCTTTCTTCACACTCCCACTTAAAGAACAATTCAGTGAAAGTATTGCCGGAGTCCAGCTCCGACCGCGGCCAGGTTTCTGTAAGGACGAGACAGCGCTAGGCAAAGTGAAGGGATGAAGGGTGGGGGAATGAGGAGACACAGACACTTGATAGGGTGCAAGTATCTCCTACTAAGGGTCTCAGCAGGCCTTTAGTTATACATCAGAAATTCTTTATATGCTCATTACATCATGCAATCATGTGATTTCACTTTTACATTGTTTCAGAACTTATTTTTGTTTATCAATCAGTGCCCAGCCCTTTCTTAATTTTCCCAGTATATGATTAACCTGGCTGCTTGGTTACATTAGCATGGCTACATATTTTCCTAGATGATGTATGTTATTCAGAAAATAGAAACAGCTTTCTATATAGAACCAAAGTGTCTTGGTGCCTTGGGAACAGTATGTGGGGTGTTTCTCCCAGACCATTTCTCCTCCCGGGGTGCTTCAGGGCCTTCTCTGGTGAGGGACTTTTACCAGACTCAGTTCCATCAGTTCTGTCAAGTGTGGTTTGTTAAAGAACTCAATGTTACTCATGGTAACTGAATTACAAATTGGAGGACATGGAGAATTATTGGAAACCATTTCATTATCAATCATGTTGAAAGGTACATTTCTCAAACTACTGAGGTGTGTATTACCGAAACTGGCATTGATGCCAACAGTCATTGTGTTTTTCTAAAGCTTACGGAAAATTTCCATGGTTTCAATAACTGGCACAAACAAATGAAAGGAAGTAGCAGGAGCCAGCTATGGAGCTTTCTGACTTTTCAGAAATTTCCCCCATGCCCAGACCTTATCAGACAGCATGGGTAGCATGGCCTGCGCCAAAGTAGTAGTGAAGTACTTAACAAGATGCCAGTAGAGAATGTACAACCGTACTTTTCCCTGCTGGAATTCACTTACACAAAAGGTTAGAAGTCCTGTTCTGAAATTTTTTCCTGGATTTTAAATTTATATTATAGCTATACTACAGATAGCTGGAAATCAAACATTTATAATCTCAATAAAGAACTGAATCAAATGATCCTCTGAATTCTTGTCTAATTATGTTCATTTGTAATATATATAAGGCAGACCTGTAATACACACTGACTTTTTAAATACCTGTTCCCAAATGCTCAGTAATGTGTTCTTTTACCTCTACAGGTAGGATAATTAAAGCATTGTGTCCATCTATTCTAAATAGCATTTAGTGAGAGAAACTATAAATTCTAATTATTTTACTACATTATTAAAGAAAGCAGTCATAAAGAAGATAATAAAAGAGTTTATTTAAAACAATGTACATTTAAGATAGACTGATTAAAAACACTTGAAATATGCCTTACATGTTTACCCAACTTTGTTAGAATAATTATTATCCTGAATTAGTTAATATAAAGATATATTTTGTGTTACTTGCTTTGGTGGGTTTTTGGTTTATTTGTTCCATTTTGGTTGTTGTTCCGCAGTTCGGTGGTCAGGCCTACAGTGACGTAGAACACACTTCAGTTCAGTGCCGGGCCCTGGATGGAATTGAATGTGCCAGTCCGAGGACCTTTTTACGTGAGAATAAACCTTGTATAAAGTAAGTGTCATTCTGGATGGATAACTGGTCCTTGGCGGGAGGTAGACCTATTTTCTTCGTCATATCTTGATATGACTTCTTTTACCTTAAGTGTGAAGGAGGCGGTATTTCTACTGTGCCTGATCCATGTACAGGGGCATTGTAGTTTTAGTAGAGGACAATGGACTTGAGACCAGAGGCCATAAATTCTAAATGTCTCTTTACCAATAATCTAAGTGCCTTTGGGTACCCAGAATCTCTATTTCCTCAACTGTAAAATGAAGGACTTAGACCAGATGATCTAGCTCTAAAATTGCTATGAAAATACTCCTGTTATTTCTGTAATAAAGATTTTATTATGAAAAGTGTGGTCTCTCTCCTTGAAAATCAGTTTATCTTAAAGTTAGAATTAGGACCATTGCTATAAATTCTGTCAGAGAGCACAGAATTTTTTTTTAAAGATTTATTTATTATGCACACAAGAACTGGGATACAGGCCAGAGATACAGGGGCTGAGAGGATTCACCAGAGACAGAGTAGGGAACAGAACAGGCAGACTAACTGAAATACACTGCTGAGGGGAGCAGCGGGTAAGTTAGGAGAGGTCTGCTGCGCCATGTGGGTAGCTCCCTGGCCGGCCAGGGATCGAACCCATGCTGCAGAGGTTGTGGACAGCTTCATAGTGCTGTGCTTAACCCCTTGTGCCACCAGGGAGGCCCCAGATAGCACAGAATTTACTGATACACCATTTACTAATGTAAAGTCTGGTGACATTAGAACAACTGCAGTTGTCATCAGAGTATATGAGAGAAGTTCCCATTTTCAGTTGCCACAGAGATCAGTGTACATTTAAGGAAAGACATTTAGTTAAAGAAGTACATAAGAACTACATTCTCAGGAAAGGAGCCTGGAGTGGGGGAAGGTGAAGAGTCAACTCCATTACCACCAAACGCCTATTGTGCAAAAGTGTTTGTTAATTCATTGCCCATTCCAGCTCAACATTTGTTTGGGAAAACTTTCAGAGTAACAAGACACTGGAAATAAAAGGAATATTCTTATAGGTCCTCTGTATTTCAGCAAGCACTCTTTTGAGACCCTCAAACAACTAAAGATTTTTTTTTTGTGGAGGGATAAGGGAACAAGAGGCATATCGGGGCTACTACCATCTTTTCACTTAGGTTAAATTCATTAATCATGAAGTGTTTAATTTTCATGCGTAAGCATCTTCCTTTTAATTCCTTTTGTCTAGGTATACCGGACACTACTTCATAACCACTTTACTCTACTCTTTCTTCCTGGGATGTTTTGGAGTGGATCGTTTCTGTCTGGGACACACTGGCACAGCAGTAGGGAAACTGTTGACGCTTGGAGGACTTGGGATTTGGTGGTTTGTTGACCTTATTTTGCTAATTACTGGAGGGCTAATGCCAAGTGATGGCAGCAATTGGTGCACTGTTTACTAAAAAGAGTTGCTATTACAACCCAGAGAGATAAGTCTTCTGAATTCATCTTTACATGCTCAGAACTGTTCCTTGATATCAGATCTAATCAGGTCTTTCCCTCTTTGGAGAGAATGGGCTTGGTTAGGAAAGTTTCTTGTGACTTTGGGATTTTCAGCCCAGATTTTACCTTGCACACTAGAAATGACAAGGAAACAGTGTGGGAATCAGGTTTATACCTTTCCTTGTATACACAATATAGTCACTAACTTAACAGCTAAAGAGGACTTCCATACTCTTTATTTCAGTATATTGCAGCATCCTCAGTCCTTTGGAACAAGTGGATGTAACAGAATGAGCAAAGTGAATTTTTTCATTGAAAGTGAATATTTTTAGCCTTACTTGTGACCCTGAGTCTTCATGCAGAGGCTATCTGAAATTGAACCAATGAAAATCCTCCGCAGAAATGGAAATGACCATGGATTTTAATATATACTGAAATTCTAACTTCTGAATTTAAATTACAGAATGCATTCTGCCAGTCTTGAATCCTGTTTGGATTTTTCAATAGGTAGAGTGGAACTCAAAATTATAATTGTTTTGTGAAAATTTAGGTATTCAAAACAAACCACCCTACTAATAAACCCTACTCTTTCTCCCTCACTATGCTCCAGAGCTAGTAAAAAACAGTGAAACAATTTCTTGATGCCAACTTTGGAAGCCAACAACTCAGATATGTCTAAGTTTAACTCTCCTCCTGGCAAAATTTTCCTACCTAAAAATGAGTATTTATCATTTAAAGAGTCCATGCTATAGGCTGATAAAAAGTTTTCATATAAGTAACTATAAAACTTAACATTTAGGTAATGAGAAGTCTCATGCCTTTGGAAAGAAAAACACTCTTACTAAAGGATACTATTGCTGACTGCTGGGTAAAGTTAGGATGTGATTTACAGGGGCAAAGAGAAACTGAACACATCCTGTCAAAATAAGCATGGTGCCAAAAACTCTCACTGTAGGCTATATCACTTAATCATAGGGAAAGAGGTGCAACCAAGCTTTTGCATTCCCAAATCACTGGCAATAAAAGGAAACATTCCAAATTATAAGTGGTTTTCAAAACTTAGTTCCCATAATTTGTAATCTAGGTTGAAAAGAACTGGTAAATATAAAGTAAAAGGGGACTATTATAGCCAAGTCTAAAAGCCTACTATTCAAGGTAACATAAATCCTGGAAACCATCAAGATATAACTGCTCAGTTTCATAATTGACTTAAAGATCAAGAATCACAATTAAAAACCTCTGGATATGCTTTATCATTTTGAAGAAACTTTCCTAAGAGTTTTAAGCTTTCTTGTCCCTGATCAGTGTGATCACTGTTCTTACTATAAAAATGGTGGCAACTATGTAAAAATTAAAACATTCTGTTCTCTTGAATATTCTGTACCACACTGACCTTTACTTTGTTTGTAACAGTAATAATTGGTAGATTCTTATTTAATTGTGGATCATGAAGAAACTATACCCTCTCCCCAGAGTAATACACATTCATAAAATTTTGCGTAGAATTAGAGGTTCAAAGATGCTATATTATTTTCAAAACTTAACTTCTAAGACAAACCTGGAAAACAGAAACTAAAATTAAAACCTTACCCATAAGATACTATTTTAAGTCACAAATCCTACCTCATTTCACACTGTTTTGTTTTGTTTTTAATGTCCTTAAGGGTAGGCACAATCCCCATCAAAAGTTATTTTCTTAAAAAAATAACTTCGGCAGCTTTCAGACTTTAAATCACTAATGTCAAAAGGAGGACCTTAGGTAAAAAAGGTAAATGTCTAAATTATTAAATTATTTGTTGTATAGTTATAGAGGAAGCCCTCCTCACAGAACAGCTATTGGAAATCAAAGTTGTTTACACTCCAGTGATAACTTGAGAATCTTTACTACCCCCTCTGGCAATCTGCAGTTGTCAGTTTCAATTTGAAAGCTAAATGATATCAGTCCCTCTATATCCACAAACTCTGGGCAGTGTGGTACAACCTGAAAAGCTGATTGGGTAAAGGAGTATTATTGAAAATTTGATTTCCTTTGCACTCTGGACTCAGGTAGTTTCTTGTTATTTGGTGGATAGATCTACTTCTATCTCTGTGTGTTTGTGTTGTATCTATGTGTGGCCATAGAGAAATTTTAAAATACTAAAGTGGGCTCTTGTCAGGGTTAAATTAGTAACTGTGCCTGCTTTTTCCATTCTTTCTTATCTTTAAATAAAATTTTGTCAACTCCCCAGACTTCCTGGCACCATGTCCTCCTACTTACTTTAGTAAGGCTTCTTAGCAGCAGTATAGCATCCCCAACTTAATGTTCCCTGAATGTGTGTGTGTGTGTATGTGTGTGTGAAAGCATTCATTTTTCTTTATAAGAAAGAGATTCTAAAACTATCCTTGCCGTCTTTAGCACATCTTCAATGCAAATCAGGTAATACAGCTTTGGTTTTGTTACGCAGTTTCTCTTTAAAACAAGATACTTAATAGATTATTTCAGGTGTGACTGTCATGATCAAAGTTTGACTTCCTCGGCGAACCTTGATGGAAAGGAAATCATTGTCCTTAACAGCTTCAATAACATCAGTTGTGGTGGCAACAGGTTGTCCATTTATGCTGACAATTACATCGTGGTCTCTCAACCCAGAGCTGGGAAGGAGGGAAAGAAGGACCATGAGACTAATAGTTAAATGTGTCCCCATCCAGAATATATTTTCCTGGCATTAAACATACAAACCAGGAATAGGGTTAGTGGTGGTGTGTGTTTGTTTGTTTGTTTTTCCTTTCTGGTATCCAATCTATTATTTTATTAATTTTTTGACTTTTTTGCATTGTTCATATTTTTATAGTATTTGATTTCTCCCTTCAGGTGTAGTCCCCATAAATATCCCACCGCCATATCACCTTTGAACTATCCCCATGGTCCCTTGTGCTCTTCCCAACACTATTTTGATCTCTTTTCAAACCAGGAATAGGCTTAATCCTCCAAATAAAGTGCTATTCTAGACATAACTGCAGAATCACCTGGAGAACAGCAATCCTATTTACCGTCATAAAGTTAATATTCAATCAGAATCATATATAAGAGGTTCACATCTCCCATCCTAGATTTGGTTTGGAATGGGGAATTTCATTCATTTTGGAATTTCTAGTAAACTCTGACCTCTGTTAACCTCAGACACACTCCCCCAATCTTACCAGCAAACATAAAGTGCTCAATCAATAAATTTTTCCCCAGACAGCTATACTCAGATCAGTTTGATTTTTGAGAGCCCACTTACTTGCCTCATCTTGAAGAACCAGGTAGTAAATTGAGCTGTATGATAAAACTCTGCTTTCAGTAAGTGAAAACCTACTTGGATAAGTCATCCTCCCAAGTCTAAACTTAAATTCTAGTTTTAGGCTCTTTTTCCCCTAAGTTGTGAAATTCAATCTCCAACATGTTAGCTTCACACAGAATATATATTCTAGAAACAAAAAGCAGCTCTAAATTTTCACAATAAAAATATAGCCATGCTGATGATTTGTCTTGAAGTCAAAAATAGGCTGGAAAAGGAACAACAAATGACACCAGGAGATTCCTTTTAAGAGAAATGGGAAGCCCAAAAAAGAATGATATGTGGGTTTATTTAAAAAAAAAAAAAAAAGTGGAGGGAAGGAGCCAGGAATTTAAAGCCAAAGGATATGAAGAGATGTTTGAGGATCAAGCTAAACACAAGGAAAATCTTTAGAACAAGAACAGCTCAGGAGGGTAACAGAGTGCACAAAGAAAGAATTTAGAAGTTCTGTGAGTAGAAAGAAAGAAGCCTGCAAATTATTGCTGAGTATAAACTGTACACCAAATACTAGGAAATGCATTCCAGGATAAATGACTTTCCTCATATCCCACTGCTTGTAAGAAGTTAAAACAGGAAACAGGATTTGGTCCTAGATCTTTCAGACTTGAAAACCCAACCTTCTCGTCACTCCATTCCTCTGCCTTTCAGAAAGAAGAAAAGCAGGGTGATGCTGGGGTTCCACATCTCTGCTGACTTACCGTGTCATTCTCAAGTTAATTACACTCTACCACACAGCTGCTTCTATTGTAAAATAATACCTATATAAGACAACTAGGGGCTCAAACAACTATGTAAAACATGTTCATTTGTACCCAACATTAAGCGCTTAGTAAATGTTGACTCTTACTGCAGTAATTAATATTATAAGTAGATGTCAGTGGGTAAAGCCAGAGAGACTAGATTTCCAGTTTATCGGTGACTTGATCAAGCAGTAAATCCTACATTTCACTGTTTGATTTTTCACTGAGATCTTTCTTGTTTAAAATATATATTCTGATTCAGTGGTAGGGTCTGTCTGCATATCTAAAAAACTCCAGCTGATATAAATGCTACTGGTCTGCAGCCCATATATTTTGCATAGCAAGGACTTGGAGAGCTGAAAGAAATAGCTTTGGCCTTGAACCAGAAGTTAAAAATAAACTTTAGGGTGGGGGGTGGGGAGAGTTGGACAGGGATTAAGAAAATCTAGAAAAGCCTGTGACACGCCAAATTTAGTAACTTGAGACCTAATATTTAGCTATTCTGAACCCTATGGGTTCTTATAATTATAGGACAAGCCACCTCTTCCCTCAATAGTGTAAATATTTAAAAACAATAGTAAATCAACTGAACAATCTTCAAGAGCTACTCCAGCCTTTGCTTTTTTACACAGATCTTAGCACTGGTCTCTGATCTGTCATCCAAAATTCAAAGAATAGTGTTTTAAAGTACCTAAAATATGTACCCACACTTTTAACGCTCTGGAATCTTCTCATTCTTAATAACTAAGATACTAAAAAGGTAGATTTGGGAAATCCTAGCAAATTAATTTAAAATTATGCCTTTAACTCATACCGTAAATTCTTGGGCTACATGAACCATCCCCTTCAAAAAAAACACCTTTATAAGTACACAAATCTAAATTGGCACTGTGCTGCAGAAATGTAAGACAAGCCATATATAATTTAAAATTTTCTGGTAGCTACATTAAAAAATTTTAACAAATGAAATTAATTTTAATACTATATCTTACTTAATTCAATAGATCTAAAACAGTATTTTAACATGTCATAGCTTCTAAATTATAAATAGGATTTTATTTAATCATAAGCCTTTGAAATTGACTAGAAACAACATATATCCAATAAAAAAAGGTGTGTATAGTGGACAAGTATTTTATATTGTTTCTTGTTTATTAATTTAAATAAGTTAAAATTAAATGAAATGTAAAATTCAGTCCCTGCCTCACATAAGCAGCATCTTCAGTGTTTAATTTCCACATGTAGGTAGAGGCCACATATTGGTCTAGATCCCACACACATTTACCAAAGACACATCTAATTAGAACAAAGGCAAAGGCCTGAGTTTCTCTTACCTTTCAGCAGCTGTTCCTTGAATTACTTCATATATGAAAACCCCAGAATGCACGTTAGGGAAATCTGGATCTTGCCTTTTTATTTCTCGAAGAAGGCTAAGAAAAGTGAGAAGAATTTACCCAGATGGTTGTTTGAAAAAGAAAGAGAAAGAAATGACAGACCCATGATGGAGTCACTTGTGCTAAGCCCACTAAGTCATAACACCCAAGATAATTAATTGCAGTTACAACCTGTCTCAGGAATGTAGTCTTACCTGTTCAGTCTGAAATCCTCTGGTTAGTCCCAATGCAGTAATTAGTCCCACATAACCCTTTTTCATCCCCTGTAGGTAGCCTAAATAATAAGCCTGAAATAATCCCTTTTTTTTTTTTTTTACTTATGATTTCCTTGCCCTGCCCTTAAAAACCTTTCCCATTCTGTACCTCTTTAGAGCTCCTTTCTACTAGCAAGATAGGATGCTGCCCATTCATGACTCATTTTTAGAAGCCCATTAGAACTTTAATTTTTTTGGCTGGTTCATTGTTATTTAACATTGTTAAGAAGCATAATGAATTAATTTATCTCATGAGCTCTGGTTAAAGCACCCAATTCTCAATAGGTACCATTCTGTTCTGCTCAAGGCTCATGGTAGTCAATAGAACCTATTCCTTCCTGGGAGTGGTCTGATTCTCTATGCCCAGACCCATTGAACATATAGTCACAATGAAATAAACTACAGCCAACCGCTGAACTACAGGGATTAGGGGCACTACCCCTTCCCCCAATGCAGTCAAAGGTCCACATACAACATTTGACTCCCCAAAAACTTGACTACTAATAGCCTACTGTTGACCAGAAGCCTTACTGGTAATCTAAACTCTCAACACATATTATATGTTACATGTATTATATACTATTAAGTAAAGTAAGCTAAAGAAAAAATTATTAATATCATAAGGAAAATACATTTATAATGCTATACCATATTTATCAAAGCAAAGGTTTCCATGTCATCTGTACACAACAAAATCTGCTATAAGTGGGCCCTTAAAGTTCAAGGGTCAACTATACTGAAAAATACAGTCAATGCTAGCACAGGCAAGGACAGAGCCTGTGTCAAATAGGATCTGCAGTCACAAGCGCACCCACTGCTATCTAAAGACTTTAAGCTTCCATGTTAAGACTGTCCAGCCATGGCTTTTTTGTCTCAAGAACAACCCAACCCAGACATATTCAACCACATGCTTACTTCATAGTGAGGGGCAGCATTCGCAGACCCAGGTATTTCTTTTGTGAAAAAGCTTTTCCTGGAAAGGAAAATTATAATGTGTTACTAACAACAGACATCTTTCCTTTTGAAAGAGCTTGTAAGACACCAAAGTTATAGAATATCCCAGTATCATAGCTACCCTTTCAAAAGGTTCTTCAGATAACCATTGTCAATAGCACAAGCTCGTCCAATAACCTCCAGCCAGTTTCCTTTCCAAAATAGTTCAATCAAAATATTTCAGGGTACAACTCATGCCTGATATTGTGCCTTGTCCCCCAATACTGTAGCCCAAACCACTATGATAGGAGCTGGGTACCAGTGACTCAGTGTTCTACAGAATGCAAATGGCTATCTCCACAAAAGATTGAGTGCTCCTGAAAAACACAAGAAGGGAAGAAAAAGCCATAACATGCTCCTTACCTTTCAACTGGCGCTCATGGTATTCTGCCAAGAACTGTTGAATTCTATCAGAAGGAATTGCAAAGGAGATACCTGCAGTCACCTTCAGAGTATTTATGCCAATCACCTCACCATCCTGGTAAGCAAGGAGGTTATCACAGCTAAGTTGCACAAACCAAACAAGTAGAGGAAGGAGTGAAGCTCATCAGGTAGGGTCAGAATACAGAGGCTGGAGGAAATGTAGATTTCTTCAATAGACAATGAATGTCACCTTATAGAATGAATAGCGTTGTTGGCTAGCAGGGGGGACCAAATATGTGCAAATTTCAACTAAAGAATTTTTTTTTTAAATCTTGAGCTCATTTTTAACTTTGCTACATTGATTTTAAAGGTGAACCAGAGTTTGTATTTTGACACAGAATACTTGCTTTCTTATTCCATACATGAAACCAAAAATAAACATGAGAAAGGCAAAAAGCTGCTGGATTTTCAGCAACACTTCAATGAAATTATTCAGAAGAATTAGGAAATTGACCTTTGGTCAGTTCTACTAAGTTAATGATACAAATGGGAAATACTTTCTTCTTCATGCACTTTATTATCCTTTAGCCTTTGGTACGTAATGAAAAGAACAGAAAAGAGACTTCTGGTCATATTAAAATACAAATTCTAATTCAGTAGGTTTGGAGTGTAGCCTGTAATTTCATCCCTGCTCTGTTAAATCCACTGTCTAATGGAGAAAGCAGGTACAAAAAATTACATGAAAGGTTGTGAGTGAAAACTGCTCAGTAATTGTACATGCAATTCATACTCCTAAAAGCAAATGTAATATGTAAAGAGAAACCAAAAATAATCAACTTAAAGGGACTCAGCATGATCACAGACTGTGTATCAAACAGCCATGTACACTCATTTTCACATCTAGAGCCCCTGGCATTTCTACTAGAGATGCTAAATAAAATTTGAGAATTAAAATACATGACAGAGCAATGGATTCTCTTTGTGATTTTTCTGTCACCTATGGGCAGGTCACAACTAAAACTCTGGACAGACCATGAGAAATTAGCATTTTTGTATTAGGACAGTTCTTCATATGCTCCATATACATGCTGCATATACCTTACATGATACAGTTGGTCACTTGACATAAATTTAGGTTTAGTAGCCAAGATTTTGTTAACTACCCATTGAAAACAAAAATTATATTGAAAATGTATAAATAAGTGTAGGTAAGCCCTGAGACTTTCCATTGCATGAGATCATGCCAGGATGATAAATTCATTGTAGATCTTAAATTGTTCTTAACCATCTACTTAAGATCAACAATAGAAAGGCATCATACTACAAATGCCTACACAAGAGTGACATCCAAGTCTGTATAGGGAAATTTGTGAAATATTTGTAAGTTAGGCAAAGATATGAGGTGGCAAAAAAATGGCAACTTACCAAATTCACCAGAGGCCCCCCAGAATTCCCGTGCTGAAGACAAAATTTGAAAAAGTCATCAGTACTTTAATCCTTTAATCCTTGTCATTTAGCCATAGTTCCTAAATAGGTTTACCAACTAGAGAGCCCCTGTTCCTTCAAGGCAGTCAATGTTGTACCCCTATTGTCACCAACACTGAAGTCAGTGTGGTTGAAGAAAAAACAGCAAGAGGACCACCACCTTCCACAGCAGTGGCGAGCTCTATGACATTCCCTAAGAGACCAGCCAAAAGGAAAACAAAGCACCCTGAAATGTTCTTACTATCCTTCCAATATCTTATGGGTTGAGGATGCCCCCCAATGCAAATGACTTACATTAATGATGGCGTCAGTCTGGATATAATCCATGTCAGAATCCTTCAGCCCCAGCTCTCTGCCCCCTCGCTGAGTAGTGCTAACAATTCCTGCAGTCACTGTGTTCTGCAGAGAAAATGGGCTGCCCAAGGCCACTACGAACTCTCCAGCCCGCAGATCAGATGACCTTCCCAGCAGCAATACAGGGAGGTCAGACTTCACATGGGCAAGAAAAGATGGGAAGAACAGAAGAGGCAAAGAACAAATCAAGAATATAATTGAGCAGGTCACAACTAAAACTATATAACATATATAACAGTTTTTATTTTGCCATATATAACAGTTTTTATTTTGCCACTTATAATCCGAGTCACCTACCCACATAGGGTCTATGACTGTCATGCTTCTTACTCAAACTCCAACTATCATCAAACGCTTGCTTAAAGGTCATCAGGATCACCTCTAAAATCTAAAACTGCCTGTAGAAATTACTTAAAGCCATGAATGAAGTAGCTGATAAACACAAACTGACCTTGGCCATTTACTTAAAAACATTCCAAATGGAAAAGTTTAGTCAGAGTTAATAAGCCACAAACAGTGAAGAAATCCCCCAGAGAAGTGCTTCTCAAACCTTAACGTTCATATGAATCACCTGGGTGATTAGAATGAGAATTCATTCAGATTCAGTAGTCCTGGGTAGGCCTGAGAGCCTGTATTTCTAAAAAATTCTCAGATGATGGCCACACTGCTAGTGTATAAACTACACTTTGTGCAGCAAGGACTTTGAATTCATTGCACTCTTTTCTGCCATTCTAAGACCAGAAGAGAAATCAGTTTTCCAGAGGTAACATTTGAAGAAGAAGGAGACAAAGGAGAAATAAAGACTGCTGGAGAGTTAATAGAAATTGTTAGGGGTGTACAGACATGCATGGGTGAAAATAAATGAAAGAGGGAATGAAGGACAGAAAGAAAGTAGAAAAGAGCATATACTAGGTAGAAAATAGGTGGTGTGGGAATGGTTGGGAAAGAACACAGAAAATTGATGAAAATCTCCACATATGCAGACACTGATTTGGTCCTGGAATACTCACTTTTGGCTCAATCTTTATCAGTGCAAGATCCAATTTATGGTCAATGTCCTTGACAGTGGCTTCATATTGGTCACCATTCTGGAGCTCCACCTGGATCCGCTGCCGATTGGTGATGACGTGGGCATTGGTAACAATGAGGCCATCCTCGGACACTATGAAACCAGAGCCACTAGATGCAGGAATATCCTCCCCACTGAGCAGTGACCTGTCTCGGGAAGACAACAGCATCAGCAGAGGGCAGGAAAATCAGGGGCTTAGGCACAATCTAGAAACACAGATCCATACATGTAATCATATACTTCCACCACTTTTCCCAGACATTTTACTTTTCCCTGTCTGTGTTTTCACTCTCTCTGAGTGTAATCAGATTCTGCAGAGACAGTGCCCAGACCATCTCTGAACCATCTCTGAACACGACGGTGAGCTGACTCCAACACTCTTTTTCCACTCTTCAGAGCTGTTCATGGCAGCAACCTCAATTTCAAAGAGGTCTAAATGATCATAATATAATAATATGCAAAAGTGGACCTAGTGACACAGCAGACCTCTCCTGTCATGCTGCTGCTGCTTTTAGCAGTGCATTTCAATAAATCTGCCTTTTCTGTTCTCCACTCTAAAAAAAAAAAAAAAAAAAGACCTAGTGCCACATTATCAAGGTGGAGAGGGTATCAAAAAAGTCTGGTTACTGCTCTGGTTCCATAAATTGGCTTTTGTGCCACAGCACAAAATACTTCTCTCCTACCAGGCAAAATAGGGACTGGGTAAGATCACCATCAAGATGCTTTCTACCGTGAGAGATAGAATTGGACTTTTAGTGGTGAATTGAACTTGATACATGTACGTGAATGTATAGTGGTGCACACCAAAAGCTTAAATGATGCACGGTCACTTCAATTTTTAAAAATCTAAATTAATAAAAATTTTAAAATAAAGCAATATGCTTTCTAGCTCTAACTTCTGGCTTTCAATTTTGTCTGCGGGAGGTAGGGGAGAAAGAAACCCCAGCCATCTACAAGCAGGAGAGTAACCCAGACTTGGATTCAGCCTCCCTTTGCCTCTGCTTTTTAGCTCAAGGACCCTGAACAGGTTTGGACACGTTCTTTTCCTCCCAATTTTTTTTTTTTTTTTTTTTTACGACTAAATGATGCTCCTTACGCGATAGCATCTGCCCAGTAAGTCACCCGGTGGGCGAGGTCCTCCCCCTATCACCTTTACCTGCGGAACAACTGCAAGTGAACCACAGACGGCGCCACCTTCTCCACGACCTCGGCGATGAAGTTGTACTTGCTCCTGAGACGACCTGCGCTTGCAGTCCCTGAAAGAAAAGCTCCATTCTTGAGGGCGGTGGGACCGTCCCTCCTGGACCGTATCCCGCGCCCTAGCTCCGGCCTCTCAGTCCCTCTTCTCCCGCTCGTCTTCCTTCCTTCCCTTCTCTTTCCTCTCGCCGGCCTGCCCCTCCTCGGTATCCCCTGCAGTCCGAGAGGGATGTGCCTAGAAGGACGCAGACCGCCTCCCCGGGAGGGAAAAAAAAAACCTGTTTAAGGGAAGACGGAATTCAACAGGTAACGGGGAGAAAAGCGGGAACGAGGCGCTGAATTCCTGAAATGAATGGAGAAAGGGCGAGCCCGAGGCAAAGCGGACGATTGAAACTCGCTCTTTCAGAAAGCTGGGCCCGTGGCGCGAGCGCGCGCGGCGCGGGGTCTCACCTGGGTCGGCGCAGTCCCCCTTCCGCACCGGCACGGCCGCGAGCGCACCCCGCCGGCGGGCGGCGCGGTTCTCGGCGCGCAGCGCGCACAGGCTGGGATAGGTGCGCCCGTCGCTGCCGCACACGGGCTCCCCCTCCGCCGGGCAGCCGCAGGTGCCGAGCCCCGAGCCCCGGAGGCGCCGGGAGCCCGAGGGCGCGCGGCACTGCAGCCCAGGTGCGCAGGGCCGGCTGAGCGCTCCGCCGCAGGCCTCGCCCTCCCCCGCGGCGCAGACGCGGCAGCAGCGGCATCGGTCGAGCACCGGCGCGGCCCCGGCGGCGCAGACGGGTAGCGGGGGGCAGCGCGTGGGTTCGCACACCACCGGGCAGGACAGCGAGGGCCGGGACCGCCTAGCGTCGACTCTGACCAAGGGCACTGGGGGGAGCAGCAGCCAGAGCAAGAGCAATTGTCCGAGCCTAGCCGGCCACAACAGTGGTCTGATCATCCTTCCTTCTTGGCGCCCAATTTTCCAGCTCCTGTAGCCAGGACTCGCCAGGGCTGAAAGGAGCTACACGTTCTCCCAGCTAGGGTGCCGCCTCCACCAGCCCCGACTTTAAGGGGCAGAGCCTGGCAGACCTCTACACACACACCCAGCACCATGTGTCCCCACCCCGGGCTGGCAATGACGAGAAGTCCCTAGCCCCACACTGAGCAGGGACCTGTCTCGTGACACCCATAAAACCAATAATGGGCACAGACGGACAAAATAGATCACCCACCCACAGACAAAAGGTCAGCAATTGGAAATACACCATATTACAGTATTTCACATAGTTTTATTACAAAACAAGCAACAAAACAGATTTAGAAAATTATTTTTTGCTACATACCACCAATTAGATCACATAAAATGAGAAGCATAACAGTTTCCATGCACTCAGCTCAGTGCTTACAGAGAGTGCATTTCACAGCTGAAACATACTGGTTCAAAACACAAACTCATGCCACACCTTTAGAAGCAGACGGGGAAAGGGTGAAACAGTATGTTTTTGCCAAATGTTAACTTTATTTAAACTCTACCTAGCATGAGTGACTGTAACTGACTGCTGCAGGCAATAACAAAGAGAGAAAAAGGGGGGGGGGAGTGGTATTGGTAGAAACGATCTAATAAGCCTGTTCATTTCTGACATGTTCGGAATTTATAAACAAAACCAACTTAGGAAACACAAATTTTCGAATGTAGTTACCTCTATATGCCTGATTATCTGGTAAACAGTGAGAACAAACATCATAAATCCCACGGTTCAACTCCTGAACCTGCTTTTTATTTATTGAATCCTTAGAGCATATTTAAATTCAGAAAGGGAAAAAAAAACTTTTGCTTCAAGGAAACTAAGAAGCTGGAGCTTAAATTTACTCTTTCTCATGTGATCCCAGCATTCTACTCAAAAATACATGAGTAATGAACTCCAATATTTTGACTGCGGTCACCCTCCTCCACGTAGGCCTTAGCCTTAGTACACTTAGGATGTCTCACAGAAAGCAAAAGGTATGTTTACCTACAATCAACTCACCTTGAGTAAGCAAATCCTTCAAAGCTTTCAAGAATAGTGGATGGTAAATAGTTCAGCTATAAAGAAGACCTGAAATACTGCTACTCATAGTGGGTCAAGACCACTTCAAAAGTCTTATTTTTTTATATAAAGATTTATTTATTTTTATACAAGAACTGGGGTACAGGCCAAGGCATGGGGGCGGGGTGAGAGGATTCACCAGAGACAGAGCAGGGAACAGAACAGGCAGAAGGACTGAAATACACTGCTGAGGGGAGCAGGAGGTGAGACAGGAGAGGTCTGCCGCACCATGTGGGTATTTCCCTGGCCTGCCGGGAATTGAATCAAACCAGCGCTGCAGAGGCTGCAGACAGCTTCACAGCACTATGCTCAACCCGCTGCACCACCAGGACCAGGGAGGCCCTCAAAAGTCTTATTAAAGAAAATACAACTCAACAATTTTCATTCCACAAAGAAATGCAGTACATTATGTGATTCCTTTTCCTAACTCAGATTTAGTCCATTACCTAAGTACTACTAAACTATACTGTATCCCCACCCTGTTGTTTTACATTCGGTTCCATTTTACATATTTAAAACTAAATGCTTTGTCTATATATGCACCATCTTGGCTCACATGAGTAATGATACTAGAAGGCTTTGATGTGAAATTGGTCAGAAGTTAAGAAATATGGGCAGAAAAGGAATTCTGAAATTAGGCTTGGCAGTGAGCATGTTTTTAGGTTTCTTTGAGGATAATTACATTATCTGGTGTTGGAATTACATTAACCATTTTCTAACTTGGAACTCCCAAGTACCTCCAAAGTGAGAGTCCTCACTTTCCCTCTCTCCTGATAATACAATTTGGATTTATGAGTTATGTTTAACACATTTTCAAAACAGATTTTACTGAGTAAGAAACATCAGCTTCCTATAATGACCAATGATATGATTTAGCAATAGTAATAGGGTTTTATTAGAGATAAAAATGGGTATATTTTCACATTTTAAACATAAAAGACAGCTTCCTGGGTGGCGCAAGGGGTTAAGACGCAGCACTACGAAGCTATCTGCAGCCACTTCAGCACGTGTTCAATCCCTGGCCAGGTATCTACCCACATGGCACAGCAGACCTCTCCTGACTTGCCCACTGGTCCCTTCAGCAGTGTCTTTCAGTCAATCCGTGTTTTGTTCCCCACTCTGTCTCTGATGAATCCTCACCCTCCACATCTCTGGCCTGCACCCCAGCTCTTGTATGGATAAATAAATCTAAACAAAAAAAAAAAATACACATCAAAGACAACACATTTGCATGAGTTAAGGAATGGTTAAAGAGATCTCCAAAGTTCCTAATTTCTTCCCAGTCATCCAGTATCACCTTGTGTGCTTGTGTGGAGCTAGTCAACTTTTCCTGAGGAAAATCTGAAGATGTAAACAGGGAAAAGGAGCTTGAAGAGTCTGGAATGGCTTCTTGAAATCAAGCTATGGAAAGTGTGTTGTAACCTCAATGATTCCTAAATAAATAATTCCCTAAACAAGGATTTCTGAAGATAAAGGTATATAAGGGTCAGCAGAAAATAGAGACAAATCCAGGAGTAGGAGTCCTTTTTTATACCAGGATGACTAGGCCAAACTTTATTTATTTTTTTTTGAAACTTTTTAAAATTTATTTTTGCATACAAGAGCTGGGGTATAGGTCAGAGGTACTGGGGGTGAGGGGGTGAGAGGATTCACCAGACACAGTGGGGAGCAGAACAGGCAGGCAGATTTACTGAAATACACTGCTAAGGGGAGCAGTGGGCAGGCAAGACAGGAGAGGTCTACTGCTCCATATGTGGGTTAGCTCCCTGTGTGGGGATTGAACTCAAGCTGAGACTTAACCCTAAGACCAGTAGGGAGGCCCCTCGGCCAAACTTTAAGTGAAGGGTCACTCCGACACATTGCAGTCAAGAAAGGTTCTGAATGGGACACAGACTTCAATAAAACTACTGCCTCAAAGAAACATAAGACTTCTCTCAAGCTATTAAGGATTTTCTGGTTACATATTTTATTGCCTCGGCATTAGATTTAGCAATAAGGAGGGGAAGGAACGACGGTAAAAATGCTTCTTAGTCTTTTACTCTAGTTCTGTCTCCCTTTAGGAAATCATGATAAGTTCCTGGTTAGTTCACCACATAAATTGAATAGACAAATTCTCCCAGAATTATTCACATTTCCCCTGGAAATAGTATCTTCTTATCAAATGGAAGAAAGTACACTCTAGAATTTATGTGGGAAATGCAATCTTCTATATATACTTTTACCTGGGAAATCGTGAGCCAGCAATGCGTAGTCTCAAAATCAATGATTCTATTCAGATTTTTCTACTTTATTAGAAATATAAATATTTCTCGAGGTTTTCTTTACATTCCTTCGCATTTCTTCATTGTTAAATACATAGAACCTCATCAGATTACAGGCTTGATCATGCAAGTAACAAGGCTTCATTCAGAGGGCAACACAAAGAAGAGGAAAGAAGCAGGTCTGCCAGGGCATATAATATGTAACCCTTAAAATCAGACTAATATTGGCCCATTAAAAAGAGCTGTGCAGAGAAGATTGAATATAACATATTAAAACAGACATTTTCTTTAATCTGGAAAATGTGAATCAAAAGAGCTTAGCTGAATTAACTCTAATGCATCTTTCTCCTACTTTTAAGTACACCCAAAACTCAAAAATAAGAGATCTGATCTGTCACACATGTGAATTATGCCTTGATCAACTCTCCATACACTCCAATTAACAACACACCAAAGAAAATGTCTGTTCTGTGCTCAACAGTCATAACATCAAACACCGATAAACCCTTCCTTGGGGCCAGACATAGAAAAGGGGTGGGCTGGTCTGTCACTCACATCAATAGTATGGGGGATCAAAGAACATCTAGAAGGGAACAGATTCCCAAAAACTTACTGAGGCACTGGGGTTGAATCATCACTATCTTACAAGAAGTCCCTATTTCTTCCCTATGGAAGTCCTCTGGGGAAATGTGCCCTGGTAGACTTTCTGAGAGCCTCTCTCCAGGGCCCAGATTTTAGCACCTCCCCTCTGAATAAATACCAGGCAAGCTGGCGCCTGAGACTGACTCCACTCTTGCCTTCTTTAGCAGGATCAGTCCCCACCCCTCCTTCACAGTCAAACTCCAGCCAATAAACAAGAACAGGATAAAACCAGATGACTGGCCTATGATTCTGTGACTGGCCTGAAAAAGAAGACTCTAAAACAAGGACAAGGAATTAAAATTTGGGTAGGGATGAAATTGGACTTCCAACCTCCTCCCACCAGGAAGACCTGGGAATAGTTCAACAGGAAGCAATCAGCTTTCCACTGAACATGCCTACTGATCTACCTTAGTGATTGTCCCAAATTAAATATGCCACTTTGATATTTAAAATATAAAAAGCTAGCTTGATGAGCCCCTTCCACAGAGCAGCTACAGAATGAGTGCCATAAAGGCCTGACTGTCCAGCTGGTAGAGAACTGTCTCCTGGCCACCACCCCCTCCCTCCCAAACATTATATGTCCTTCACACATCAGACGTCCGAATGTTCTCATCATCCAGGTTGAAGATAAATGGTTTCTCCTTGGGGTGCTGAGGCTCTGATCTGTGCCTTATCCGGGAGCTGGATAGCACCCCAGCAGTGTTGCTCTCTCCAAGTCGAGGTGTGAACAAAGATTCCTCAGGAGTCTCTTCAGCTGGAAGCAGCTTTTCCCCAGCCGGTGGGACAGGTGTCCAGGGTTGCCAGGAGGAGACCACAGAGGGGGCTTTGCAGAGGGCTTTTTTCTCTTCCACAGGTGGCCGCCCTCTGTACAAGATGGACTGGCTGCCCCCAGAGAGACTGGAGCTTCCGGAGCGAGTCAAAGAAATGGATCTAGAGAAGGATATTTCCTACAAGAAGAAAAAAACAAAGGATAGTAAGGGCTTTCCCAACAATCCCAGAGCCCCAGGAAGAGATGCCACTCAGGAACACCACCTCATGTCCAGACACACTTGTGTATAGAAATCAAATATATCCCACAGAATTCACTCGACACATCCAGGTCTGCCTAGCACAGAGACACCTAGGACACATCAGAAACCCTATTTCTCTATCCAGTCCAACCTCACCTACTCTAACAACCAAAAGTAAATAACAATTTGTAGCCAAGTCAGTAGAAAGAGAAAAACAAATAAGACTGCCTGGAATTTAGCTCCTGGCAGGGACCAGGCTATTGCCTATATCATCAAATAAAACCTGCCCACTCAAAAAGAATTAATATCCAAGTGACAGTTGCTGGAACAGAAAGGAAGTGACTTACTCTGGGGTGGCACTTGAGGGCCTGTACAGCTGCCCCGATCTCCTTAATCCAGCTGTGCATGTCTTCTGGGCTGTCCGCCTGCAAAACACCACAGCACTTACAGAGAAATTGTTGGCACTATGGTTTCAGCTTCCAAGTCTCTGACTCAATTTGAAGTTCATAAAATCATGCCATTAGAGCTGAAAGGAATCTCAGACATCATCTAGTGCAAAGGCTTTCAGGCTTTTGAGGATATTTTTTTCCTCCAAAATTTTATTTGACACCAAGATATAAACCAAGTCAAAGCGCTCCACAGTTTGCTCTGCAGGGGAGAAGAGGTCATGAGGAAGGGAGAGTGAAGGCACATCCACTGCTGAAGCCTTTCACCCCCTAAGGAACACAATCATGACCTGCTCCAGCCTCCACCGTCACAGGGAGCCAAGCTCCACAACCATGGTTGGCCTTGATGCCAGTTGCTCTCACTCCCTTTCCATCTTTCTGCTACAGCAATATGAACCAGACAATCCCATTTCAATTCCAGTCCCATAAAGCCAAATCCTCTACACATCTCCCTGGATATGGATTATCTCCAGACAGGGCTTCTCTCAAAGCACAAGCTACTCAGGTCTGCTTGACTCCATCCAAGCTTAACCATGAACACTGCTGAGCCATTTGAAAGTATTTCCAATTATAAATCAGAGACATGCGGCAGGGGAGGAGGTGGGAGAGGGAGGGAGGGAGGGAGGTGCACAGGGGACTGAGGTGATGGTGCACGGGTGCAATTGGGGAAGGAAATTCTACGGGGACTACACCTGAGCGGGTGGGGAAGCAAATATTGTTTAAAAATGAACAATGATGTAAAAAAATAAATATTAAAAAAGCATTTTCAGAAATAGTAACTTTATCTCTATGATTAGGAAGACTAGTTCACAAATAGGTAATAATTTGTGACTGCCTTGTTATTTTTGAGAAATTAGACATGAAATCCCATAAAAAAGTCCTCATAAGTTAAGATACAGTTATAAATGAACAAGGATGTAAAAATACTGCTAGTTCAACAAAATATATTTTAAAAATTAAAAAATAAAAAATAAATAAAAGTATTTCCCCCACAATACCTACCAACACCACAAGGGAGCAGCAGAGGCTCTGCAAAGAAAGGAAGAACTGAGGCCCATACACCACAGCACTCTCAGAATGCTCAGTGTTTTCCAACTTTACAGGCGGTGAGTTCAAGTGAACCTAGCAAATATTTACTGAGGTCCTGGAGTGTTACACAGGGCATCAGGGTCTGCACACAGAGGGAACCAGGACTGAATCCTCACGCTCCAGAAATTTGTATTTGTTAGCTTCTCAGTCCCCATGCACCTTCCCCTACTATCACACCCAAAATCACAAGCATACATTTGTGTCTCTGCATATATATCTATCTAGATATATATATCATACTCCTCACTTTCTCCATCCCCAAAATGATTCTTTCTCTTTGTTTTATAACAAGATAAACACAACCAGTTTTGGTTTTTTTTTTTTGTTTTTTTTTAATTCTCAACCTTGCATCCCTACTCTTTTCTGTCACCCCAAAGAAACCCTGCATGGTTAGATGTGTGTAGGAAACACATGCAAGGAAAATGGTTTCACATTCCATTGGTGTGCCAGGTCAGAAAATGCCCGATCTCACACCACAGCTGTAAGTGCATCTCTCTCCCTGGGCTTTTTCCAGTTACCTGACGACCTGGTGGTTTCCCAAGAAAAAGACAAATCCATCCCTAGTCCAATAAGACAACCAGACATCTAAGAAAAACACAGAAGGAAAAAAAAAAGCCATCTAGAGGTATTTTACTAGCGTCAAGGCTAGCTTGTTCCACAAGCAAAGCTACTGGGAGAATTCAATGAGCTCTTGTTTGGGGAAAGCAGTTTGAATAGTTCTCTGCTATACAGAAAGTGCTTCCTAAGTATTAATTGCTGTTATTGTGGCTGCCTTTATTATATGATATGTGTATGATATGAGGGACACAGATGAAGCCTTCAATCTCACAATCAATATTGTAAATATGGGGCCTCCCTGGTGGCGCAAGGGTTTGATAAGACACAACCTATGAAGCTATCTGCAGCCATTGCAGCACAAGTTCGATCCACGGCCAGGAAGCTACCCACATGGCGCAGCAGACCTCTCCTGTCTCGCCCGCTGCTCCCCTCAGCAGTGTACTTCAGTCTACCTGTTCTGTTCCCCACTCTGTCTCTGGTGAATCCTCTCACCTATGGCCTGTACCCCAGTTCTTGTATGCCTAAATAAATAAATCTTTTAAAAAATATTGTAAATATGTTTACTATCTTCTCCCTGAGACTTTTTTCTTTCCTTATACTACAAGTAGGTAATTCCTACCTACACAATCAAATTGTCAGAATCAAATAAGGTGCCACATTGGGGGGGTGTTTTTAATTTGAATGATATGGAGACAAATTATCTATTAGTTTAAAAGCATTTCTTAGAGATTTTCTTTCTAGGGAGACAGAAGATGCTGTGGTAAGGGAAAATGTGAGAAGGTAGAAGAATAGATGGGATGGTAGCTGAGGGAGAGATGAATGATTCGCACAACACAAAGGAGATCAGGCTTTTCATTAAACAGACTGCAATAAAGCAATAATTAGCTTCCAGGTGTTAAGATAGTTCTACTTTTTCACACTTGTGCTAATCCTTACCCTGTAAGTCACAGGAGACCTATTTGATGTGGAGACTTGGAGACTTTACCAACAAACTTTCACCCCTTCTCTAGAAACCGCCACACAAGCCCAGGTGTCTTCACCCTAGCATCTGCCTAGCAAGAAGTCACTGGATCAGAGAAAACTACGAATCCACCTGATGTAACACCTGGGGACTCAAGCACAAGAATCAAAATCCTCTCAAACATGTTAAGATCATTTCTGGTTAAGATCATTTCCTCTAGTAGAAACAATTCTGCTATTTACATCTTTGTGCGTAAAGCTTTTCTCACACTTAGGATTATACAACTCCCAGGGAATTACTAAAGACTACATACTCTGCTAAGGCTCCTGTTACATGTGGCCAGAGAGTATTTCTCACATATATATATATAGATATATCTATCTTTATATATATATATATATAAAACATGCTAAAATTAAATGTAATTTTAAAAACTTTGCTAACATAATAAGCAAATGTTTCTTAAAACATTTAGTAATTAAAAGAGATAAAGGTTGCTTGCTGATTATATATCTTCCTTAATTCTCTAATTACCTTTAAGGACATTTTTCGGTGAGATAATCTGGGTAGTTAACCCAGTAATGAAGATAATAATAATATCAGGAAACATTATTTTAATGTTTAATAAATGTTATTTTAAAATATTATTCAAATAGAAAAATAGATAGTATACTTATCCTATATGAGATGAAATAGAGTACTACTTTATTGAAATCACAATTACAGTTTCTTTGTGTGTTTTAAGAACTGGGATCCAATGGCAATAAAAATTCAGTGAAACCTCAAAAATTGTATGCAAAAAATTATAGTGTATGTATATATCTATCTTTTAAGGAACGCCTGTGCTTAACTTTCACCAAAAACTCAAAACTATCTTAAAACCACATTACATTCATGAACCAGAGGGGAAAAGAGAGTTGATATCTGGCCTCCCACACACTAAGAGACTAAAAAGTACTTAAAACTCAGTAGAACAAAAAAGGGCAGTGCCAAGCTCATACCTTCATCTCTTCCTAGTGTGTTCAACTGTGTGCATTTTTTTCTAGTGATTGGTACAAAAGAAAAAGTAGGATTTCTGTCATTGAGAGAAGTTTTTGAGATGAGAAGAACAAAAGGTATCAAAATAAGTCACTCTAGTCTGTGGTTTTGTTATAGTCCAAGAGCAATTTTTTTTAACATCATTTTTCATTTTTGCACAATGTATGCATTTTCATCTTGGTTATATTCCCCATACAATTCCCACCCCCCTTATTTTGACCCTAATCCCTCTTCCCCTCCTCCAACCCTCCCCCATAGTGTGTCTTTGGTTTACAGTTGCTTGTTGATTTTGATTTTGATTTTATTATAATTAGTCTTTTTCCTGGTCCCTTATTTAGGTTTTCTAAATTCCTGCTGAGTTGAGACTATCCGGTGTTTTTCTTTTTCTTTCTGATTTATTTTGCTGAGCATGATCCCTTCTAGCAATTCCACTCCTAGTATTTACCCAAAAGACACAGAATCATTAATTCAAAAGGGCACCTGCACCCCTATGTTTACAGCAGCACTATTTACAATAGCTAAGCTATGGAAACAACCCAAATGCCCAAAAATAGATGACTGGATCAAGAAGATGTGGTACATAGTCCAAGAGCTTTTATTGAGTATCTACTATGAGCCCAGCATTATAACCTCTGGTTATTTCCATTGTAGCTAACCAAAATGTTTAGGCAGCACTGATGCCTGCCCTTCCCAACAGCTGATCACCCCTGCCCCTTCCCAAGAAGCAAACCCTTCTTTAAACACAGTCCTGGCCCCTATGATTGAATAGATTGTATACTACATAGTTCTAAATGATATCATTCACCTTGTAGTCTAAATCACAAGAGTCAGTATCCAAAGAGCTCTCAACCATCATTCTGCAATTCACTTGTGATTCCTCTTATTGTTACTCTTATCCAGCCATAGACCCCTAGTCCTGACAGATGGGTTTATGTGAAGTTACCAAAACCAGTCTGCACTACATTTCTCCTTTCAAATAAGCATTTTTTTCTCTTGATAAGCTTTATAATATCTGACCCTCTATGACTGGAAAATGGGGAAATGGAGAACCCAACTACCAAAGAGTGAAATCTCATTTTGAACCTTTGCCCAGAATTGAGAACCTTCTCCCTGCTGATGAACTTGCTGACATTACACGCTTAAGGACCATATTATTGCCAGATCCTGGCTCTCTGTCACTGTGATCCATCTACCAAGATATCCAGTTTCACCAAGGTGGTCTTCCCCCGTTCAGAGTTAGCCTCTCCTGGTTGTCTGTGGCCACACCCTCTACATCATGGGTTCTGCCCAAGGCTGCTTTTAAACAATATGAGCAAGTCTTGCTCTGACATCTGGTGCCTCTTAGTCAGTTCCATAATTCATTAGGTTTATAATCTCCCACAAATAACTAACCATCAGATACTGTCTCCTCATGTGTAAAATGGAGACAACCTCAGAGACTGCTGATGAGCTCAACACTGTTCCTAGGACATCTGAGTGTCCACTGAATTATAAGGTGTTACTAATAGAAAAGACTATTACAGTGTGATAAATCACACAAATTATATATACAAATTATATATAAAAGGTAAATGTTATACAGAACATAAATAAGCAATACTTAAGAACAAATGACTGACAAATTGTTAGTCAAACTCACTTAGATCTATGGCAGACTCTTTCTCAAAAATGAATGAAATGAGCCTTCTATGTGAAGGAAAATTATGGAAGTTTTTTTTTCACAAAATTTTCAACTTTTAAGGCAAATATAGAATTTCAAAAAACTTATATTCATCTCTATGCTCTGGGTAGTTTTTCATACTTAAAAACTCTGTTGATGATACTGGTAGTGAAACTAAAAGGTGTGATTTTTTGATTTTATGAAATAAAATGTGACGTCACTTGGAAAACTGGCATACTTTCTAAAATGACCAATGCATGCTGTTACAAAAACATGCACGGGCAAACGAACAAATGGACAATAGCAAATGGATTCTAATGTAAGAGTATGAAAGTTTATTGATAGTGGCTTCAGATTCTACATTCACCCAAATATTAAGAAACTACCATTTGTCAAGTTTGGGTATGGAAGCAGATAAAAAATATCCACAATTATATGAAGAAATATTAAAATATGAACGATTTTTTCCAAATCTGTATCTGTGCAAGGTCAGATTTCTATCAGATCCTTCAATCCAAACAACCACAGGTAGGATCCAGCTATGAGAACCCCAGTGTCTTCTATTAAACTAATCATTAAAGAGATAGGCAAAAACATAAAAATGGTGCTACTCTTATTGCTTTATTTAGAAATCTTGTTATTTTTCATAAAATATTACTGTGTTAACATAAATGAGTTCATAGACGCTCTTTTAAAATGAATTCATGCATATGTTTAATGATTTAATCGAGCTTCTTCTCTTTCCATTCTCTTTGACTTTGGTACTATAAATGGATTTGTCTGCTTGCTCATTTATTTATTCAGGGTGGTGTTAATGTTCTTTTATTCCAGAACTATGGGAGCAGAAAGCAAAAGAGGGCAAAAGCTATGGTAAATGTACACATATTCATGCAGACAATGCCATGTCTTTTGAATATTTTTGTTGTTGGGCTTTGAAATTCCAAGAACACCAGCTCCAGTCCAAAGCTCTATCCTTAACTCTTAACCAACATAATCATTCACTTGACAAGTATTTGTCGAGTAGCACCAATATATCAGCACTACAAATCTGATGGCCTTCACGTTAAGTCCCCTGGAATGTTCCACAGACACTGTAAACGAGGAGCCACCAATGCTAAGCTTGTCTTTCATGGAAGACCAGCCTTTCTTCCATGTTTACATCACAACGATTTCTCACTTAGCCACTCTGAATGAGGCCTAGACCAAATATCTGGCCATAATCCTGCCTCTCCTTTTCTCCCTTCACCCATATCCAGTCAATTCTTAAGTCCCAGAAAGCACTCTATCTTTGATAGTTTTTAAATTTTCCACTTTTTCCTATCCCTCATAATTCAAGCTTCCTTTACCACTCACCAGCCTTCAAACTGGTCTCTTTCATGCCTATCTTCTCCCTCCCCTGTGGGCTCTCTGCTGCACCAGGCACTCCAGTCACTGATAGCATCCATGAGAGGCGCTGGGTTGAGCCTATCATCTCCACTTCACAGATAAGGAAAACCAAGCTCAGTTAGATTGCTTGCCTAAGGGATATTTTTAGAAGGCAGATCTTACTGGGTCATGCCCTCATTTAAACTGTAAGGGTCTTAACCTTCAGGACAAAAAACATGCTCTTTAAGAAGGCATGTAAGGTCACGGATCAGCCTCCCTTGTGATCCGGTTTCTTTTTCTCTCTAGGCAGTTGGTATAGCGCTGTTCCCTCTGCTTGAGCCACTCCTGACTGAGGCAAGATGTGACTGCCTTCAGGGCACCTCCCTTGACTCCCTGAGACTGGGGAGGTGCCCTGCTTGTGAGTTCCCATGGCAATCACTACTCACTCTTAGGGTAGCACTTATCATACTGTTATTTTGTTTTAGCTTGTTTTTCCTCTCCCCCCTTCAATGAGGTGGTTTCACACTAGCAATGTATCTCAGTTCTTTTGACATATTCTGCATTCCATGCTGAGATCATCTGAGATCCTAAATGCTTTTTTAAGTTTGCATATATTGAGGTTTATGCATGTGCTACATATTTCTATTTTTGTGCCTCTGCCAATATACTGTGACAGAATACTTTTATTGCCCTAAAAACCCCTGCGTTCATCTATCCAACAGTCCCTCCCCTACCACATCATCCTGTTTTAACTGCCTATTTACTTGACTTGATCTCGCCCTCTCAAGTCAGGGCAGTGTACCCAAGATGAGGCAAAATACCCCTCACTCTAAGGATACTCCACAAATATCTACTAAATGCAAAAAACTGGTAACTCTTTTGTGGCACTTACAGTTTTAACATTGTTCTGAATTAACAGTGGGGCCTGCTCTAAGGCCCCCATAGCCCTTCCCACAGCTACTAACACCCTCTCTTCCCATATGCACATGCTTGTCTGAATGAGCAGACTGCTCGAGCATCTGCTGGGCTCAGGCAGGAGGACCAGCTCAGAGAGACTGAGGACAACACGAAGCTGCTGCTCAGGAAATAGGGGAAGAGATGACCCCTGTGGAAGGGAGAGCGTTTAATGAGGAACGACACTTGGAACAAAGAAGAAAGAGCTTGGGACCTCCCTGGTGGTGCAAGGAGTTAAGACTCAACCCATGAAGCTATCCGCAGCCACTGCAGCACTAGTTCAATCCCCAGCCAGGGAGGTGACCCACATGGCGCAGCAGACCTCTCCTGTCTCACCCACTGCTCCCCTCAGCAGTGTATTTCAGTACATCTGCCTCTGTCTGATTCCCCACTCTGTCTCTGGTGAAATCCTCTCACCCCCACACCTCTGGCCTGTACTCCAGTTCTTGTACGCATAAATAAATAAATCTTTTAAAAAATTACAAAGAAGAGTACTGGATACCCTGAAAAGATTTGGTTGGGGAGCCCCATATTTAAACCAACTCACTGCTTGGCAGTTTCAGTGCTAGAAATGCTGTATTATCGGGCCACTGGTGGATCAAGGCACACTCTGCGGATGGCTAAGCGGGCTGGGGCAGGGACTTGGCCCCAAAAGTCTAGGCGCTGCTTGAATATCTGCCTTTTTAGCTGCTATGATTTTAGGAGCTGGGAGAATTCCAATGCTGTGGGTGGAAGGGAAAAGCTTCTGATAGTTGAAGCATCACAGCCGAAACAATGGCGTCCTCTGTGCAGCTGGGCTTTGCACCTGGTGCCTGCACAGGGCCCTCTGTGCTTTTGTCCTTCCGTACACACTGATGTCCACACACAGAGGGGGCTTATAAATACCCGCCAAAGGAGAAGTGAAACCAGTGACCAGTTCTCCTTTTCTCTGCTTAGTTGGCATACAGCAGCTGAGAGCAGCTGGTACAAACTCACATTCCCCAATACAGTAGCTCAACCTGCTCTTATTATTTTATGGTTGGGAAGCTTCTGGCAAACATCCTGTTTAGAATAAAATAGGACTATCAGAGCTAAATTTACCCCTAGAAACTTCAAACAAAAATTAAAGAGAAAGGAAAGTTAAGTTCAAGGCCAATGAGCACATCACTCATAGATATGAAAGAAATGTCAGTCTTCTCAGAGGGAATATTTTTACCTGCACATAGAAGGTCCTGGAGCTTGTTATTATTTCAAACAGGTTGTCCCTCATTAAGAGATCACTAGACAGAGAAAGAGAAATAAAGTTAGCAGGTGCATAAACTGAGGACTTTCTTTGCGCTAAGTCAAAGCACCAGTGCCCTCTACCATGAAAATGGGGTTCCCAGATCTTGCCTCCCTAAACCCCTCCCTCAAAAAACATGACAGGAGTTTCCTCTAGTTTTACTTCCTAGAGGATCTTAGAAGGTTTCACCATCCCAGTGGACATCCCCCACCAACACACACCAGCTGTAACAAGATAAAGCTCCTTTCCCTCTAAAGTCTCCTGTTCCATACCCACCACACTCCACACAACCTACAGTTGTGTGTTTCTAGTGGCTATGATGTGTGAAGTGCTCTGTGCAGAGAACTTTTGTGTCTTTTTTTATGATCAAGTAGATGAAAATGTTACTGATTATATATGCAGAGAGGGAGACAACTACAACTAGTTTCTGATGTACAACATAATGATTGGATATTAGTATACGTCACAAAATGACCAGCATAAGACTAGTTAACATCCATCACTGCATATGGTTATAATACTTTTTCTTGTGATGAAAAAGTAAAAATCTCTCTTCTAGATTTTCAAATATGCAATAGAGTATTATTAACTACAGCCCCCATGCTGTGCATTGTATCCCTAGAATTTATTTATCATATAATGGGAAGTTTGCACCTTTACTCGTTTTGCCCACCCCCACCCTTGACAACTGTCAAGCTGTTCTATTGAGTACATTTTTGTGTGTTGTTTCATCCAATCTTCATAATAATCCAATAAAGCAATTAAGACTTTCTCCACTTTACAGATGAGGAAACCCTGGCTCAGAGAGGTTCTGTGACTTATCCACGGCATTGAAGTTAGTAAAGGGCAGAAATAGAATCCATAGCTCTTCCTAAGTCTGATGCTTTTAATTAAGCCACTACTGTCTACTTCTCTTAAAGAGGCCAACTCCTTGGCCTCCCTGGTGGTGCAAGAGGTTGAGCGTAGCACTGTGAGGCTGTCCACAGCCTCTGCAGTGCAAGTTCGATCCCTGGCTGGGTAGCTACACATATGGCACAGCAGACCTCTCCTGACTCGCCCACTGCTCTCCTCAGCAGTGTACTTTGGTCTATCTGCCTGTTCTGTTCCCTGCTCTGTCTCTAGTGGATCCTCTCACCTCTTACACCTCTGGCCTACACCCTGGTTCCTGTATGCATAAATAAATAAATCTTAAAAAAAAAAAAAAGCCAACTGCTCATTTTCAAAGCTTTGCTCCACCCAAGCAGCTTCATTCAATTCCTGTTTTGAACCTTACTATAGTGAGGATATAGGATATTGAAGGAGAAAAACAATAAGGGTAGACTACTTTAATATGCTTGGAATTGGATATGAGATTTAGAAGATCCCAACTTCTTCAAGGAAGGGAATGAGAAGTAGCTGACGCTAAGTGTTAAACCTCAAATCCATCAAAATTGCTGAGTGTTGAATCCCTGCTGTGTACCCAGTCATTGTGGGGAATATATAAGGAATTAAAAAAAAAAAACCCTAACTCCTCCCCAATAAAAGACTATAAAAAAGCAGAACTATAAAGGCAGATGTTGGGCCATGAGTATATATATATATATATATATATATATATATATATATCCCCAAGGGTAGACCAGTTGCAAGAAAGGACTGGTCACAGGCAGGTATGGCTTCATGAATGAGGATATGGGTGGAAATGGCTGGTGCCTGGACAGTGGCATGGACACCCAGGCAGGAGACTAAAGAACAACATGGATGAGTGGACCTGCAGCCAAATCCTACTCCAGGTAGGGATAAGTCATTTTAGGAACATTTTTAAAACTATGTAAAATTGAGATAAGAAGACCTCCTCTATGGGGCTACTCACCAGAAAGATCCAAGATCAGGTCTGTATGGCATCTGGTGAGATGCATGTCATACAGTGGTGGCCTTACTACACATTTCACTATTAAAATGACTTTCTGAGTTTCTAAGTAGAGACTCTTCTTTCTGGTTAAAATGCTTCAACCTTTCAAACTGTTTAGGTACATATACTATAGTACGACCAGACAGTCAACTAAGGAGGGGAAAGCAAGACAGGGAGGAAATCCCCACCCTTTCACATCCACTCTCAGGCGACATGCTTCCTTTCAACTCAACAAATGTCCGTTGACTAACCAGCTGCCCTAAACCACTTGCCTGGGTTTTGGCCTCTCTGTGGGAGAGGCCACAGAGCCTCTCCTTGGAATCTGCTGAGCCTTGAGGACTTCCTTCCCTGATGACCTTTAACTCCCTTCACTCTTTACTCAGAGCTCACTCTCACTTGGACAGTTGGAGATATGAGCAAAGTGCAAAGCACTCTTAGGATGGAATCTTATCTGAGTTTGCTGAGCTGCCCCCACATGCACAGGTAGTTTTACATCTATCTGTACAGGCCTTCCTAACCCCTTTGGGGTCAGGAACCATCCCCAAAGATCCAGTCATGCCCAACCTTTCCTTCTCCCATTGTGGACTCACACTTTGGAACTTCCATCTCTAGCTACTTTTACAAATAATAAATGGTCACTGGGAATGTTTCTAACCTTCTGCACTCTCCAACTGCCAATTTCATGGCTCAGTTCAGTCCCCTTTCAGTCCCTGCTTCCCTGGGTCATACAGCATTTTGTTTCCATGCAAGACTTCCCACACCTTCACGTGAGAGTAGTCTACCCACAGCTAACATGATGATGCTGGCTATTCCTGCCCCTTCCATGGGATGGAGACACACACAGTCCCTAAAATCTGCAGATTGAGGGCCTTCCTGGTGGCACACTGGTTAAAGTCTCAATGCCATCAAGCTATCACCAGCCACTGTGGCAGGAGTTCGATCCCCAGCCAGAGAGCTAACCCATATGGCGCAGCAGACCTCTCCTGTCTGTCCGCTGCCCCCCTCAGCAGTGTATTTCGTAGATGTGCCTGTTCTGTTTCCCACTCTGTCTCTGGTGAATCCTCTCACCCCCCACACCTCTGGCCTACTCCCCAGTTCTTGTATGCATAAATGAATCTTTAAATAAAAAAAAAAGACTGCAGACTGAGGGCCAAAATGAGGACACCCTGGGGGTTTCTAAAGTTTAGTTCTAGGTGTATCTATACTTGGTGTTGATATGGGGAAGCCCTTGCCTAGGGGCTCCCAATGTCACCCAGTCACTCACTTTGGCACTTGGAGGGGCAACCATACAGAAAGAGGAATAATACTTGTTCTTCCTACCCATGGGAATAACAGAGTTACTATGACTCACCCTTGAGTTAATGGGACATCAGGGACTTTATCAAAAGGAGAAAAGAAAACTCAGGGAAGAGGTACTGGCTTGAACAGTGATCAGAACAGTGACAGAAGTGCTAAAAAGCTAGTGAATCTGAGGCATCTAGGGGAGGGGAGGGTGGGGTGACGAGATGGGGAGGGGGAGAAAGAAAAAAAAATTGAGTGACTTAAAAGCACAGTCCTCAATGCGCATCAGTCCTCCTGGGAAAGTAGCTCAGCACAACTCTCTAAATTGCTTTCTTTTTCTCCATCAGAAAACTGTTAGAAAGACTCATCTTTTGAGGAGCTACCGTGAGGAAATGAGGTAACTGAAAAGGAATAATTTTCCCAGTGTGATCTCCTAGCTGCGTCAGTGTGGATGTGGTGACTCAGACCCATTCCTTGGAAGAAGACTCTTGAACAGAGTCTCAGAAGGGTAGTAAATGAAGACTTGAGAGGGCAAATGGGTGGGCTGATCAGAAAAGAATAGGCAGAAACAATTACCCAGATTTGACCAGACACTCATGGGTTTTGAGAACATCCTTAAGTAATATAGTACGCAGTGGCTCTCGGTCCTGTTGGGATAAATGAAAAGTCAGGTAAATAAGGCTCTCCATATAATGCCACATCCCAAACAGCTGACCAGGGCTCCTCTCATCAGAGATGGTTGACTAATGCCAGGTTGCAAACAAGGCAAGGTCTCAAAATAATCAAGAGAGAGGACAAAAAATCTAAGAAAATGCTCTATGGCTCTGAGCACAGAGCAGCTCACCACGGAGCAGGAGGGATGATGTTTGGGCCAGTTTAACACCACCATGAAGATGTGCACACAGGATGGAAGTGTAAGACAGGGCACCTCTGAATCTGTGTGCGCTCATGTATGCATCTCAGTATGTCCTCGTGAGCCTCTTTCTGCTATGACCCCCCCCCCCACAGAAGGGCCCCAGAGCTACTACAAACCTGCTCACACTTGAAGTAGCAGATGGTATAGTCATCAAGTGCAAAGAATCGACGTTTCCAGCTCTTCCGCTAAAATAAAATTAAAGGGCCGGACATCAGGAAGAGGACTCAGCGTTCCGAATGGAGGGTGTTCTAGGTGTAAGCTTCCTGGGGACCAAGGTCCGTGGAAGCTATTCCCCCTACATTCAGCTGGAGGCAAAGATCTCTTCCTATCAGGGGCAATGCCTCAAAGGATTGAATGTCTCTACCAAGTTGTACCAGTTTAGCAGATGCCTCAGCTGGGAAGTCCAAGTTCCTCCTCCCAGCCTGCTGTCCCCCTGCTATGGCCCAGAAGTCACCAGAACTTGCTCCAGCCCCAGTGTTGACACTCACCACATTCCCTTGCTTCACACAGTACCCGCTTTTAATAAGGGGGGGGCCGGTAGGAACACGGCAGCCTGTCGTGGGGATGTAACTCTGAGACCTTCGGAGAATGGCGTGGGATCCTGACTCACTTCCTTCCTGCCCTTCCCCTCCATTCTGCGAAACAGAATCAGGATTAGCATCTTCCTGCTCCGAATGCAGCCCTCCCCCCCCCCACCCCGCTGCCCCACCACCACCTGTGGCCCACTATGTCAGTCAAAGAAGAAATAAATGAGAAAACATTTACTTTGCTCCCAGCAGGCACTGAACATGCTTTCACAGAACAAGACTCGGGGAGGTTGAGCAGACCCAGGAGAAAGGGAAGGACAGAAAATTCAAACCAGAAGAGGGGCTTCAGGTCTCAATTGCCTTCCTCAGCCCCTCTTCCCATGGGGTTAACAGTGCCAGTCCTCTATGTATGGAGCAGAACTTAGTTGCTCTTTCTTTTTCTCCATCAGAAAATTGTTAGATAGACTCGTCTTCTCAGGAGCCACAGTGAGAGAGGCCACACAGCTTCAAGATGCAGTGGCCTCAATTTCTGCATTGCCATAATGCACATCCTCCTGTCTGTATTTTTTTTTTTGAGTACCCCTTCAGCCCTGGTTCCCTTACACCCACTCACTCTTTTCTCAGTACAACCTCCATGCACACCCCAGTGCACATGGACACCACCCTGCCCCCCACAGCAGCCCAGGCCCTGGCACCTGGTTGATGGGCGTGTGCACCACCACCCCACCAATGATCTCTGTCTTGTAGGCCACCTGAGGCTTCTTCTCTAGGGCTGGGGGAGCTGTTAGGCTTTTGAGAACTTCAGTAGGCAGGGGCAGGCTCCCCACTTTAGGAACCTAGAAAGAATAAGAGTCTGGTCAACAAGAAACAAAAGACTTAGGAAAATAGCAATACAAAAGAGTATGGAGGAAGGGTGAGAAACTCTAAGTTTCCCAATCATAGCCATCCCTGGCCTCCCCAGCTCTTCTACCCACCCATACCCAAAGATGAGGTGATACCTGCAACCTTACCACCCCCCTCACATACACGCACACATTTCACAAGTGAACTGAGCATCTACTATGAGCCAGACCTTCCCTGGCTAGAGAATAAAACAGCAAACTGCAGGGACATGAGTCCTGCCCTCCCATTTGCCATGTGTACATGCTAGTGTGGAGACTGATGAAAACTACACAGCAAAACAACCAGGATAATTACAAGTCATGATGAGTTCTACAAAGAAAATAAATGGGAGCTGAGATAGAGAGCAACAGGGGCCCCTGTACAAAGCCAGGGTTCAGGGAGCTGGCTCTCAGAGTCCAACTCCGAGTAACTTAGTCACTCCGTGTTCCCAGGTTCCACATTCACAGACTCATGCAGCCAACATCTGCTGTGGGTTGAATCCATGAATGAAGAAGCTTGGTTAAGAAAAAACCCACATAGTTGGACCATGCAGTTCAAACTTGTGCCATTCAAAGGTCAACCATACTTGAAACAGAGTTGGGGGTGAGGGGGTCTCCAGAGATGTCAAAACAGAAACCCAGGGGATGAAAGAAAGCATGCAAAGGTATTGGGCAGGGAGAACCTACACATTTAATATTGGTACAGAATTATGGTGTGAGAGCTTTGGAGCCTTGGGATATAACTCCTGATCCTGTGACTAATTGAATGACTTCAAGCAAATTGTCTGACCCACATTCTGCAGACCCAAACTGTCACGCAGTAAAATGGGAAGAGGAATAAAAAGTGTGTTATAAAGTTGATGTGGTTATCATGATAGACATTCCAAAGCTTCAGAAACATGTATAAAAGTATTACAGGGCTACTACCATTTACAACACAGCCTTTTTTGAAAAGTGAGTTATCTTCATGCCTTTCTTTAACAAAGTTGTAGTATCATGGCTGACCAACGAATCACGGAGTTTTTAAGACCTACAGGCCACAGATTGCAAACTGGTGGCCCAAAGGCATACTTTATTGTGTTTTTTTAAAAGATTTTATTTATTTTTATACAAGAAATGGTGTACAAAGCAGATGCACAGGAGGGTGAGAGGATTCACCAGAGACAGAGCGGGGAACAGAACAGGTAGACTAAAGAAATATACTGGTGAGGGGAGCAACGGGCGAGACAGGAGAGGTCTGCTTCGCCATGTGGGATTCATGCCAGCCAGGATCGAACCCGCGCTGCAGAGGCTGCGTATAGCTTCACAATGCAGTGCTCAACCGCCTGCACCACCAGTGAGGCCCCTTTTTTGTGTTTTATGTGTCCTAAACAGTGGTATATTTCACATAGAATTTGGTATATTTCACATAAAATTCAGATTTCCAGCTAAGAAGTCATCTCCTCTGTAGGGAAGCACGTGTTCTTCAGTATGTCACATTCTCCCCAATACGGAGGCCATGTGTCAGGTGCCATTACCTGCATTGATGTCACTACCTTTCTTCCTCCCTGCCCACCTCATTGATATTCGAATCTGCAAACTCCAGTGAAATCTTTCATTGTCTAAGAAAATGAGAGGCTTAGAACAGTAGAGACATTTGCCCAAAGTCATGATAAATAACTGAATAGGCTAGACACTGTCACTCAGTGGTGTGGAGGGCCACGGCATCTCACAAAGCCTCTCCTTCACAAAAAGTCAATGCCTGTGTCATCTGCCAGGAAAGTCACTGCAGACTTCATGAGAAAAGCTATGGTCTTCTGCTGCTGTGTTTTTAGCCTTGGGAGACAAAAAGACCAAAAGATTCAGGCCTTTCAAAAGCTCAGAGATCAGAGTCATGTGAGAATGGTGTCAAAGCTCAGAGAGCTGGGACCACTCCATGTGGTTTCCTGTCAAAGGAGGAAGGCCACCGTGATTATACTGGGGCCCCATAAAGAAGACGAGGCCCCTTCTCTCTGGCCTGCACTCATTTTGCATAGGCAAGGGTGACCTCTGTCCATCAGCTCTCTAGATGGGGCCAGAAATTCACCTTCTCTTTTCCTCCGGTTGTCCCAGGACAACAGTAGCTCCCACTTCTTTGCCTTCCTTACTGTCCCCGTCCAATTCAGTGCCAAACAATGTGCTAAACATTCCTGCACTATCTCTGATCTCAAGTAACCTTATAAGCCGGCATTATTGTCTCCATTTTATAGGTGAAGTAAATGAAAACTCATTAAAATAAAATAACTTACCCCTAGGACTGCCTGACCCCTCCCCATTGTCAAATACCACTGCCTGCTTTGCCACCAACTTTGAGTTCGTAATAGAACTCTTTAGAGATTTTCATTATAGTTAAGGGTTTTTGTGATACAATTACCATGGAACAGCAGAAATCCCCTCCGAATGACCCTAATGGGTTCCTGAAATCCAGAAAAATGGCTAAGTAGCCTTTTAAAGTTCCCAATGACCAGAAACAGACTTATTGAGGCTTGGCTGTTGTATTACTTTTCAGAATCTTGCCAGGCTGCTCAGGGAGCTGCTATGGGTCACTGTTCATGCCCCTGCATTGTAGGCTGCTTCCCACCAGCCACTAGAACATTTCCAAAGCTGTGCTCACATCCTGAGACTTTGAATCAGTCTGTGGAGGACAACTCAGCAATAACTATACTCCAGGGCTTAAAGGCCAGGTTGTTCTTTTTGGTTATCCATCTCTCAGAATTCTAATTAAAGGTGTTTCTTCTTGTATCTGCCTATGGAATGTTCTCTGATGGATCTAATTTGCAATGTGAAATGAAATTTTCAAGGACTCATCTTTCTTTAACAGGCATAACTAGACTGCTATGAGGAATGACAACTTGCTGAGAGGTTGGGTAGAAAGAGCTATGATTTACTGCCCAATTTTCAACTCACTTTGGAAAGGTAGTGAGTTGAATAATGCACCCCCTCCAAACTGGCCACTTATAACCTCAGAAGTGACCTTATTTGGAAAAAGAACCTTTTCAGATGCAATTAAATTAAGATGAGGTCATATTGGTTTAGGTTGGGCCTTCAGTCCAATGACTAATGTCCTTATAAGAGGAGAAGAGGCTACAGAGACACATATACCATATGATGATGGAGGCAGAGATGGAGTAACGCAGTTATGAGCCAGGGAATTCCAAGGATTGCCAGGAGCCACAAGAAGCTGGAAGGGACAAGGCAGCAAACAGAGGGATCAGGGTGCTGCTGCTAACCAATTTCAGATTTCTGGCCTCTAGAATTATAAGAGAATAAATCTCTGCTCTTTTAAGTCATCCAATTAGTTAGGGTAGACTTTGAAAAGTAATACAAGAGTACGAATAGTCCCAGAGAATCCAGTTTCTAAAATCCATCCATCAATCGTTTTCTTCAGTCATGAGGACTCAACGACATTAGCATAAAATGAATAGTGATCTGAGGCCAGAAAAACTGGGTCCATCCTGGCTGCATGACCTTAGGCAAGTCACTTTCATCTCTATGCACTTCCATTTCCTTATTTATAAAAGGGAATAATAACACTTGCCCTTCCTACTTAAGGTTTTTATGAGACTAAAATGAAGCCATGTATGTAAAAGTGGCATATAATCTCACATTTTACAACCGTCACTTGTTTTTAATACTTTTATAAACTCCTATAAACTCTTAAGTCTTGGAAGTTAGAGTCCTGGCTTGAATCCCAGCTATACCATTTACTAACTTCTGGACTTTGAACAAGACTCTGATCTCCATTTTCTTTATCCAAGAAAAAAAGCAGAGGAACAGTGGCGTAGAGTCACTCTATGCTCAAAGCACTAAAGAAAGGTAAGAGGCTTCCCTCTGCCTCACAGGCTGGACAGCACACTCTCCAGGCAGGAACAGAGGCAGAAATCCAGGAGGAAACAATGAATGAGAACAAACTGTTGGGACAATGAAGGAAATTGTGGAGAACGCAGAAGGGTGAAGACCCCAATCATTTTAGAAAATCTTTACTAAAATCAGCACTCCACAGCCATATCCATGAGCATATGTGTTAGCAGACATGTGAGTTAACAGCCAGAATCCTTCCTTCCACCATTTCTCTCTTTTCAAAGGTTTCCCAATGTTTATCAGAATAACTTGCTAACAAGCAAAGCTGCTTAGATGATTAAACTGTACTCTATTTGGGTTCAGAATCACAAGTACTGGACAGACATAGAAATTTCTTCTATTAATTCTATTAATTTTTATGTAAGTATTAAATATTAGAGTGCTATTAATTTTTATTAATTATTATTAATACATTAATATCTATTAATTTCTTCTATTAAATTTTTTTCATGGGAATGCTGGTGTATATGGGAAAATAATCCACTCCTGTTCACTGATGGTTATTATTGGAAGTTATCAAAATGTAAGCATTTCTAACTGTATGATACAAAAAATTCAACTTCTCAACAAACAGACCTTTATTTATATGCCAGAAGCCCGCCCATTATTGGGTAAAGGTCTAGTTTTTTTCCCCGAAACTTATGTTTTCCCTCTCCTCCTTCCTACCCTTCCCCCTTGCATTTTCTGTACTTCTAGGGAAGGAATTCTCATCATTCAAATCAAGGAAAATGAGAGTACTCATATAGTGGCCAGGGAACTAGTTCAGTAATGCTTTTAAAGAAAGCATGACTAGTGGATGGATTTGATTAAAAACCCTAGCCCCCTGCCCCATAACTTCTTACAGTAAGAAAAGTACCACTCCCTCTCACCAAAGCTGGGAATAATTCAGACTTCCTTCTCATATGCTTTTCCCTTCTCATAGTCAGTAATCTGTTTTCCAACCCCACCACATTCTGAATCAGCATCCCAGAATTACTCACAATATGACTGGCTAGGAGTCCTCCTAGGAAGCACAAAAAGGATGCTCCCTAAACTTCCCCTTGAATTTGATTCAAACACAAACTGTCAGTCAACTTGTGGCTAATTAGCCAAGGTGTAAGAAGAGTCAGGGGGACCTGGGTCTGTAATAGGTTCTTGGGAATGACCCTACTGATACCTGAGTTCTTCCCCACCCTGAATAGGCACTTCCTGCAGAAAAGAGAAGGAATCATACGTACAGTGATTTTGCTGGCTTGATTCAGGGCTTCAACCCAGTCCTTCAGATCTTTCTGGTCATTGGCTTGAAGAAAATACCTCTGAGACAGGGCATTGATGACTGAAAAGTCATGGGGAAGAAGGAAGAAAACTTAGCTCAGAACACAGGCAATATAAAAAACACTCCACAAAACCCAGCTGCTCCAGGTAGGCAAGGCAGAAATCCTTAGAAAGAAGAAATCTCCCACAGTGTTAAGTCACTCACATGAATATTTGAGAAGCTGGAGGCTACAAGGGCTCTCTTTTTTCATAAGGTTGGACTGCTCCACTGGCCACAAGAATGATGCCCAGCACATGACAATAGCCTTACTGTGCTGTTGTGCACTGATGAGGCTGCTATTCCACCATCCACAAGACGAGTTTGAACTGCATTTTAGAAGGAGCTACTGGACTTACAGTCATGAACTACATATATAATTTTGGACTCTGTGTGTCTCATTTCCTCTGGTACAGTTAGCTTGGTTAAGAGTCTTGAATGTGGTTAGGAAGTGGAACAAAACTTGCCTGAGATCAAATCTGTGACCTTGACCTCATTTTTACCTTGTTTTTCCCCTGAGCACTCTATGAGGTCACACATCTTACTCCTGGGTTGATGATGATGATTGTTTTAGAACTGCTGGCCTCAAAATCTGAATCACTTTGAATTTAGCAGTATTTGAAAGACATGGGGGAATTAAGAGTACCATAGAAGTAGGAGCCAACCTGAAGAGTTGGGAGAGAGGACAGTTCAAGAGACAGTTTTTATTTGTCTAGTATAAATAAGTCTGAGCTATAAGAGGTGAGCATCATGGGGTAGACATAGAATTTGTTAGTTTCCTCATTCATTCAACAAATGTTTGTTGAACAACCATTATGTGCCAGGAACCGTTCTATGTAATGAAGATACAGCAGTGGCATAGCAGAGCAACAGCCCTGCCTAGTGGAGCTTATATTCAGAACCACCCTAGAGATACAAGAGAAACTATTTGTTAGCATTTACTTGTAGCACTTACTGCAGTACTGAGAACATAATGGAACTCCAACATTAACAATTCAATGACTTGAGGCATCAAATGAGCAATGCAGTCCCTATGTCACCCTGACACTGTCACCATTTGGCAACACCGAGGCCCTCAACAGGATACTCCATTTCTACTATCCTCTTTCTGACATCACCCCACCCCAACTTCTCCCAGTCTCCACCTTTTCTGAGGACACTATTACTCTGCTCTGAGATGAGGGTTCCTAAAAACTTCTGAAAGACACCTTGTACCTTGCAGAGTCAGGAAAACTAAAAACTTTCTAGATGCTGTGCCTCTAGGAAAGCAATTTCTATCACTTGAGGCCCAGGAACAGCACTGTGACTGAAGTCACTCATGTGCGCTGGGTAGAAGTCACATGGGGTCACAGGACTGTCTCCACACCAAAGAGGAAGTCCTGGAGGGAAATTTACCCTCACCACCCTCCAGCTCAGTACTTACCAAAGCAAAACGGAGTTTTTGGCTTCTGCTTTGGGGTAGCTATGCTCACCTAAATCAAATTAAAAAAAAAAAAAAGAAAAGACACATAAATATCTTTCTAACAGGGTTATAAAACATTTTTTTTCCAAATTTTTAAATTGTAAAGCTTTTCATACATAGAAAAAGAGTATACTAAACACACATGGGCATTTTGAAGAATAACAATTAAGTGGAAACCTGTATTCACCATCCAGATGAAAGGTGACTATCAGTCTTATTTCTTAGAAGTCCTTCTGTGCCGCTCCCCTTCCCCTCTGTAGGGATAATCACTATCTTGATGCTTGTGTTCATCTTCTGAATCCTGAATCCTGACAAATTCCTGCCAAATTCTCTTTGGACTACAATACCTGTGCTGACTCCATCCACACTTGGCAAGGTTCTACTCCTATCTCAAACCCCAACTTCCTAAACAGTTCTCCAAATTGAAGATGTATTGTTACAAATACACAAACTTCCATTCGGAGCTCCCAAACGTGAGGCAGTATATCACCCACCACATTTGGAAACACTGATCAGTTTCCTTTATATCTATGCTTACTACTTAATCACAAAAATTAGCAATTTCTATGTGCCCAAAGAAGAGCTAATGGAATCAAAGAGCATATGTGTGTATTTAAGGGAGAGGTGTAAGAAAGTAGAACTCTTTTCCACTTACTGCTGTGTTATTTCTTCTTGTTTTTCAATCCTACCCTCACATGTACATTCCTGAGTATACACATACATGATACATGAGTCCACCTTACTCGGATTTGGATAAATGCACTGAACAAATTAAGTAAAGCAACTCATATTTCATCATTTGCCCACAAAAAAATTAGTGATTACTTTTGAGGGAGACTGAATCTACCTCCCTACAGCAGGCCTTCACCACTGTACCTGAGATTTCTAAGGGGACAGTCTCCTTCCCCTGGGACCTTGGCTAAGAACTATTCAGACACTTTTCTCAATCTTCTTTCCAACCAGATACATTCTCTTACTGGTTCTCATCCTAGGGACTTTGAGTGGTTTTTGCTTAAGAGGAGACATATTAGAAACGGAAAAAAAAAAATCTCAAGTCAAAATACAAGGTTTTGTCCTAAAACCATAAAATACACAGAGGAAAACAAAGGCAAAACCCCCCATGACATAAACTTCAGAAACATCTTTGCAGTTTCATCTCCAGGAATAAGAAAAAAAAAAGGAGACTATAAACAACCGGGATTACATCAAGCTAAAATGTTTCTGTAGAGCAAAACAGACAGTAACCAAAATGAAGAGACATCCTACTGAATGGGAGAAAATATTTACACAGCATACATCTGACAAGGGACTGATATCAAAAATCTACAAAGAGCTCATAAAACTCAACAAAAGAAAACAAAGAACCCAATTAAAAAATGAGCAGAAAAGCTTAACAGGCACTTCTCCAAAGAGGACTGCAGATCACCAATAGGCATATGAAAAATGCTCACATTCACTTATCAGGGAAATGCAAATCAAAACCACACTGAGATTCCACTTCACACCTGTGAGAATGGCCCATATCAAAAACAAACAAACAAAAAACAAGAAACAACAGATGCCGGTGAGGATATGGAGAAAAAGTAAACCTTTGACACTGTAGAGTGGTCCAGCTATATGAATATTAGTGTGGAGGCTTCTCAGGAGACTAAAAATGGACCTGCCATATGACCCAGAAATTACATTCCTAGGTATCAACCCAAAGAACACAAAAGCTCTAATTGGAAGAGAAACCTGTCCGCCTCCATTTATAGCAGTACTATTTACAATACCCAAGATATGGATCAAGAAGATGTGGTACACTACTCAGCAATTAAAAAAAGATACACTCATGCCATTCACACAACATGGATAGAACTGGAAGGGATTATCCTCAGTGAAACAAGCCAGAAGAAGAAAGATAAATAATGGATGTTTTCACTTATATGTGGAATATAGAAAAACCAAACAAAATATCAAACAAAGACAAACTTTACGGCCTCCCTGGTGGCCCAAGGGGTTAAGTGTCATCACTATGAAGCTATCCACAGCCACTGCAGCCCCAGTTGGATCCCAGCCAGGGAGCTGACCAACATGGCACAACAGACCTCTCCTGTCTCACCCGCTGCTCCCCTCAGCATTGTATTTCAATAGATCCACCTGTTCTGCACCACACTGTCTCTGGTGAGTCCTCTCACCCCTCCCCATACCTCTGGCCTACACCCCAGCTCTTGTATACATAAATAAATAAAATGAATCTTTAAAAAAAAAAAAAAACAAGAAAGACAAATGTTAAAACCAAACCTTGAAAGCTGATCATAGATAAGAAGCATGGGTGGGGGGTGAGGAGGAGAGGTGAGAAACAGACTATGGTGAAGAATTATGGGTGATTTGTTTGTGGGAGAACTATGGCGACAACACCTGTGGGGAGAAATTCTTTATTTTGGAAAAAAAGAACAGGTATGTAAATTAACAGCAGTTCCATTAAATAAATAAACAGAAAAATGAAAGGGAAAATTAAGGTCTTTCCATGGCTCACAGTTACTAAAGGTCTGATAATGGAGACACACCAGTCTGTCTGGATTCTCTATCTAGGCCTTAAGTTCTTTCTATAGACCTGCCCAGATTTCTTAACAACCAAAATTAATACTCAAATATTCAAGATGGGAATTGAGATAGTGGCCTAAAAAAAAAAAAAAATCAAAGTAATGACAGACAGTATACTCCAGACTTTGTTACCAGAAAGACAGACCTCCAATCCCAAGCATCCCCGTGTGTGACCCTCATGTACTGTTCCATCAAACAAGAGTAATATGATTGCACAGGGGAGGCCCGTAACACATCCTGTCAAGCAGAAGCTGTTTGATCAAAGAGAGTCTATTTATAGCTTCTAATACCTCACTTCCTTTAAAATCCCATTAACACAGGCAGTGCCATACTTGGCATTTTGGGCAAAATTCTGAGGACCGTGAGCTTCTTAGGCACCCACAAAATGTAGAACTGAAAAAGAATGCATGGATGCCAACTTACAAAATGATTATGGAATTCTCAACATGAATAAATATTTAATTAAATGTCTGTAGAATTTGATATCGACCTCATTGGCGAGTACTTAACAAATGCCTATAAGATGTCACATTAAGTCAACTTCATTAATGTTTCAATTAAACATTCACAAGTATTTCATTACATTTGAAAATAATAGTAGCTTCAATTTTCTTACTCCATAAGAATCCCTGGGTATGCAAGATGACTGGGGGGAAATCAGAGCCAATCATAAATTAAATGGGCTACTCACAGGTAAATCATTCCAAGAATAAAAACATTAAAATCCTTTCAAATATTTAGAGCAAAGCAGTTATATTTAATGAGGGATGTGGGTGCATTCTGCTGCGTTTACCATGATGTGAGGAACAGGCCTTAGGGCCTAAGAAAATCTTAAAATAGTTCTGAAAAGCATAAAGATTTAAGCAAAGGTAAACCCATATATCTTGAGTTCAGACACAAACTTTCCCAATTCAGTCAAGTCTCTGCCACTCCCAGGATTTGTGCACTGGAACTCCATGACACCATGGGCTTTGGTTTCAGACCCTAGAGTTCAATCTGAACAACAGAATATGCCTGCATCCCACTGGCATGATGTTGTGATCTGTCAGTGACTGGTTTTCGGCTCTGTCCCTAGGCATCCACGTTCTTGTGAGGGCCCATCACCCATGAACTTCTCCTTGACCTGTCCTTGGTTCCTGGGTCACTGTGACCATCAGGGAGGGCCTCAGAACCTACCTCTCCTAAGGACCCCTTGTACTTTCAGTTTTAGAATGGCATGGAAAAACGGGCACTTTGAGACGGTCTCTAACTTATTAGAAGAGTTGCCCTTTCTCTCCTAGAAACTGTCATCTACCACTGATTAGACAGAGCACACTCAGACACACTTTTCACCCTGTTTGGATGATGAATGGTGCACCTCATCACATACATTAGCAGCCTACATTGCAAGAATGCTGTGCTCCTCTGCTTATTACAAACTGAAGTTTTCAAAGAGGTCGTCTGGGTTTTTTTTTTTGTCTTCATACACTTACCCAAGTTTTCAGTCATGAGGCGTGTGATGACATATGTACACATCTACAACTTACCTCATGCCTCATGGCTTACCACATAAGGATTGTTTGTTCAAACAATTCCTTTCTGAGTTAACTGGACAGAAATTAGTCCTAGTTTTGCCCTCATGGGCTGTTTAAGAAAGGGAAGACCCTCAATTTCTCTGATCAGTTTCCCTATCAGCAGAGCCAGAATGAAATTACTAGTCTCCTTTTTAAAGTCACAAATATAATCTCTCCTTCCTATTGCTGCACCTCTCAGAGAGAAGGGCCAAGGTGGGGCTCTCACTTATTGTCAAGAGGCAGCTATGGACTCCCTAGACCTCCTGGAGACTGTGAAGGTAAAATGCCTGCTGCCAGGATATATAACCCACTCTCCCCCACCACCAGCCCCCCACGATTATGATCAGGTCAGCCAGAAGGAACAGAGAATCCCAAAGAAGCATGGCTGACAGCTGACTCCAGCGAGGACAGCCAAGCACAATCATCTGTACACCCCAAGGGGCCAGGTGAATAGCTGCACAAACAGGGTAGTCTGGTGGGCCCCAGGGCAATGCAAGCAGTGAGCAGCTGGGGTTGTGAGGAGGCAACGGGCAGGGTCACCTAGAGAGTGACGCAGATGAGGCTGCTCCACAGCTAGGCAGACTCTCAGGAACTTGTTCTTATCAGATCAAACACAGACCACAGGAGCAACAAACTCTCGGTGGCAGGGCACTGCTCACCGGCCCCACCCTGTCTGCCCTTGGCCGGAAGTGGAGCTGGGGCCCTCTGGCAGAAGTAGCATCAGAGCAAGGTCTTGGAGCTCTGGTGCAGCCCTGGCCCAGTGGGGGACCCTGCCCCAAGAACTGGCATCAAGAGCAGGAGAAGAAACAGACACCTATGCAGAATGATCAGGAGGGTTCTAGCGGAGGTCTCTGGACCTGCTTCAGGGAGTCAATAGCCTGAAACTACAAGCAGAATCCAAGTGTGCACACACATACACACACTTTCCATCAGGCTCTCAAAAAGATCCATGACACCCCTCTCCACCCAAAAAAATTAAGAAGCACAGTTCTAGGAAGGTCTTCCTTATGCCTAACGGAGGGCAAGGCCAGACAAACAGGACACACCTGAGGGTGGGATAGTGGGGATAACTGTGGAAGAGAAGAGCCATGAGCAAAGTGGTGGTGGTGCCAAAGGCCACCTTCAATTATTTTGTCGTCAAACTGGTTCTGCTGCCATCAAAAAAGCTTTGGATGACCTCAAGTTGAGAGTTTTCATCTCTGCTGGCCTCTGAAGGACCTCATCTTCCCGACACTAGCCCTCAAGAAACAGATATGCAAAGGCACTTCCCCCAGCAGAAAGGTCACCCAGACACCACAAGCCAGACGGACACAGGTTAAACACTTTCCTCTGGGAGGGGATATCTAAGGGTTAACAACAAAGAATCTGGAATGTTGCATTTGAGCCCAGTACCACCGCTAAATGTTTTCTGGGAAACCCCTGTTTTCTGGCACTGGATCTGGCATGAGTTAAAGGCTCTCAGCTCCGTGTAACCTGACCCAGTGGCAGCTGCGGGTTTTACAAAATGTCCACCCAGGTCTGCCCTCCCCCAGGAAAGGCAAAAAGGCAGGTCTAAATGAGACAGGCCTTAAAACCAAGAATTTAAAAAACGCTTATCTGAGTTCTGTTTAGAAATCATGATTCAGCAGGAGATTGTATTCACTCTTTATTAATGAAAAATTCTTTCTAGGTCCTGTCTAACAGGACAGGGTTTAGAGTTTCTTTATCATTAAGGCTCTCTGTGATCCTCCCCCCACCTCTGGGGGCTGGGGATTCCTGAGGCTCCTTGAACACCTTGGAGAAATGACCTAATGAGCTCAGAGAGCAAGACTGGACAGGAGAGGGGACGCCCAGGTCTCAGGCCTGCCAGGCACAACACCTGCATAAATTGCCTAAAGCTATGCTAGCAAAGCCTGGCTTTCGAAATCTTTCGAAAGCTGGTTCCGTTTCCCTGAGGTCACTGTCTCCTCTCTGATCCACTTAGATAGAGCCTTGCATGGCTGCTTTTTCACACAGTCATGGCCATGGACCACCTGTGGCCCCTGCAGCCCTTCCACTTCGACTAACCCTCTGACCAGCTAAGAAGACAGAATACAGCCACTCCCAAAGCTTATTAGAAAAAGGAGACAGGACCTGTGCAGATTAAGGGTCCCTCAAGTCTGTCTCAATCCCCAGAGGGTGGGAAAACCTGGACAAAGCAACAGAGGTCTCCAAGAAGCCCGAAGTGAGGGGTGCAGTGGGGAGAGCAGGACTTCCGGAACCTCAGTCCTGGCTGGGTGCCACCTGGCTGTCCTTACTGGACAAAGAGTTCCTCTTTCTGCAACTCTAAATCCCCCAGCCGTTTTTATCTCTGCTGCATCACCGGTCAGCACTGGTGCCTGTTCTGGGAGGGGCCGCTAAAAGAAGCCGAATTTAGCAAAGTACAAGCCTCACCAGCCAGCCCTCCTCCTGCCCGCCTCCCCCATCCCCCACCAGTTCTCAGCACCAAACTGGACAGGGGATGGCTGTTATCCCAACAGCCAGACCCTCCAGCAGTTATCTGGAGGCTATTAAATGGTTTCCTGGCATATGTGAGTATCTTCTGACGCATTCTTAGCTTTCCTTCTGCAGGAAACCCTGTCCAGGTGAATGATAAAATTCCAGTGAAACCCCAACATTCTCCTATTTTCTCTACTCTTTGGGAGAATCCTTTTTGTTTTTTCTGTGTTCCTTTTTTTTTGAAATTACAAAGAGGGTCATGTCCCACTCCTATCCCCAAATCAACCTACCCCTCCTTTGCAGGAGCACAGCTGACTGATATGTCCCAAGGGTCAGAGGCTGTGGGTACTCCCTCCAAGAACCTGCTAACTACATGCCACCCCAGAACTTCCACAGCCAAACTTGAGGAAGAAGGAGCACTTTACTGCCCAAGTAACATCTTCAAATGCCACCCCCAAAGAGTTCACATTTCCTCCTGTTCAGATACTGAACTACTTAAGAGAATATGAATTCCCAGAGCTCCAAGACAACGTTACCTTCGAGATGTAGGTCAGTTGCAAAGATCCAACAGCTCCTGCCCCAACTGCCAGGTTCTGAAAAACACATGGTTTTCATTTTAAGAAAGATGCTATGTGAAGCAGTGGACACAGCACTCAGAGACAGAAGACCAAGATTCTAGTTCTGGTAATGCCACTTACGGGCTTTGTAACCTTCAGCAAGACATTTACCCATTTTTTTTGGCTCACTTTGCTTCCCTATAAATAAATGGTTAATTCTTACCATGGATGGGTATACATGACCCCTAACCATGTTTATTACAAAGAGGTATTCTAGGATACTGGTTAAAGTGTGAGGGTGACCATTTAATAGTGAATAAGTTCCTCAACCACTCAGCCTCAGTTTCCACTTGTGTTAAAATGGAAAGTAATAGCACAAGACCTACTTCACAAGGCAATTGTAACAAAGAGTTAATACACTTGAAAGCACTTGAAATTGTGCCCTCTCAACAAATGTTAGCTATTATATTTTTTCTGTCCTGCTTGCTCCGATCTTTTTTGCTCTAGCTTGATCCTTTTTTATGCCACTTCAAATTCTTTTCATAATAAATAAGGGGCAGATTCACACAAACCAGAAATTTTAAAATACAGTTGCTCCATCTATTTCATAAGTCAGCTAAGTATCAAACCGAATAAGATCTGAACACTATAAAATACCAAGTAAATTGTTTACTAAAACATCAAGAAATGCACAGGCACCTTGTCTGGCAATTTTCTACTTTGCTTAATCTCTTTGGCTTTCTAATTACCCTACTGTCAGAAATGAGGCAATGAAGATCCAGGGATAGTAGCTGTGACACTGTGATTTATAATAAGAAATATGTATTTGGTCTTCCTCCCTGTTCCTGGCACAGAGTTCTAAAAACCTTAGTGCTTCCTAAGTGGTGAAAGTGATGAAGGTGTCTTCTGTTAAATTAATGTGACAACTTTGGGAATGTCTGCAAATCACGTAAGGTTAGGGGTTGGTCGCTAGAGGAACAAACATGCAATTACATGGAGGACAGAGGGGCTGGAGATAGAGCCAGTGACTTAACCTACCATGCCTATGTAATGAAGCCTCCATAAAACCCCCAAAAGATGGGGTTCAGAAGTTCCTGGGTTGGTGAACAGGAATGTTTCCACATGCATGACGCCAGCTGCCAAACTCCACAAAGACACAAACTTCTTTGTTCAGTGCCCTGCCTTACGTATCTCTTTCATCTGGCTGTCCCTGAGTTATACCCTTTTCTAATAAAGCAGATCTAGCAAGCAAAATGTTTCTTTCAGCTCTGTGAGCTACTCTAGTAATGGAACCAAAGGGGGGTGGAGGGTGGGATGTGGGGACCTCCAATCTATAGCCGATTGCCAGAAGTACACTGGTGTCTGAGGATTGTCCTGTAGGATCAAACCCTTAACCTGTGAGATTTGTTTCTATCTCCAAGTTGACAGTATCAGAATTGAATTGAATTGTACAATACCCACCCTGTGTAGGAGAATTGGTTGGTGTGGGAGAAGAGCCCACACACTGGGTTTTGGAGTCAGAATCACTAGTAATGTAACAAAGAAATGGCCATGATTAGAAATCACAACTGGGGAGTTTCTAATTTATAACTTGGAAAATTCACTCCCCCTGCATCTGAGAATGTGTCCAAAACTCCTGGTCACCTCTTAAAATTGTTGCCAAAAGTCTCAAAGAACAACCTAGAAGCCACCATTATCTGAGGTATCTCAAAATGATAAATAAGAGGTGAATCTCGGAAAAAAGAAATTTAGTAAATTTGCTGAAGGTTAACAGTGAATTGACCATTCCAGGAGACTGCCCTTAAGCAATGTATTAGATGGTAGGGGAAAGTCATTTTAGGTCCAATTATCTAAAGTAACATACAAGCTTGAAGCAAATACAATGTATGAAATGTCCTATTCACCAGTAAGTGGATGCGGATAAGCCAATAAAAGGACTCTCATAGCTCCAGAACCCTGGAGGAGAGAAGTCTAGAAAGGACAATCTCCCTCCTTTAGTAAATTAACTAATACATCTATTTCAAATGTGTATGATTTTGTTTACACACTTTTTTCAATTACATAGAAATTACATTTTGTTAATTTTTAAGGAAACTTCTAATTTTTAAGGAAAAATAAGTCTTGTAACTCCTAAATCAGAGCCCATAAAGGAGTCAGTTTCCTGAAGGGTGATGGTCGATACTGCCCCAGAGGACGGGAAATACTCAAGGCAAAAGACTCAGCTCAGGCAGAGTAAGGTCTCCAAAGCAGGTGGTGTGGTACAGGCACAGCCTCCAGAGACACACAAGCCACAGGCCTCTGCTGGACACTGACCCCTGCCCACCCCCAGACTCCCTTTATGCAGTTGAGGAAAGAGAACTGCGTATGAAGGGATTTGTCCAACATCACATAATAGGTGGCAGAACCTGAACTGAGGTCGGGTCTCCTGACTTCCACCCCAGTGTCCTAGAAGCAGCTCAGTGCAATTTAAAGGCTTGAACTGTTGGAATTCTAGCTGTGACTTTATTGCCCCACGAGTGGGTAAGTTTCTTTACCTATAAACTGGGGATGATAATGCCTGTTTCATAGGCTTGTTGTTAGAATTACATGAAAATGCACAGAGAGCGCCAAGCACATGGTGTTTCCCATTCCACACCCACAACACTAATGACAAGATGCAAGTGCCAAGTCTCAGAGCTGGTCTTGCACAACTCACGCTCCTCACCCCAAACCACAGCCCAAAGGCCTCCAGAACCCTATCCTGAACTATGAGTGATGAAGTGGGATTTGGGGAGCCATTCGTCCACCAACCCACATGTAATGACAGATAGGAGTTGATCAGATTTCAACTACTTCATTCCCTCCACCCCTCCACCCTTCCAGGAGACTCCACCCTCCGTCCCCTGGCCCCCTTCAGTTCTCCAGCTTCACAAGGAAAGATACAGGAAAACATGACTAATGTCTGAAAATTCTCCCCACCTTCCTTACCACCCAGGGGGAAATGAATGACAGGAGAAAATAGCCCCGGGATCACCAAACCTCGATCTGAAGCGATGGATCATTCCAATTACACATGTCACTCCAGTTACTGGACCCAGGAGATTAATGGACCTAGGAGATTAATGTTGACAGCTAAAGTTCAGCCCCAGCAGACACTTCCTGGTCAAGGAGGAAGGTGCCAACATGCCTGAACTGAGGCCTTGGCAACCGGATGTCAAGGGCATGAGAGCCAAGAAGCAGCACCTGGGGAGGAGCAGGCACAGACCCACAGCAGCGCTGCGTCCTCCATGGGCAGGCCTGTCCACCTCAACAGCCTGCCTTTACCTCCCCTTTCTCCAAATTCATCTGCACTGGTCCTTCTCCAACTCTGATGCACATCACAATCTCCCAGAGAGCTCATTTTTAAAGGATCAGGTTTCAAGCCTCACTTGAAAAAGATTTCTTTTTTTTTTTTTTTTTTTTTTTTTTTTTAAAAATTTTAATTTTTATTTTTTTTTTTTTTGGCGAGTCAGGGTCTCGCTATGTTGCCCAGGCTGGAGTGCAGTGGCTATTCACAGGCGCGATCCCACTACTGATCAGCACGGGAGTTTTGACCTGCTCCGTTTCCGACCTGGGCCGGTTCACCCCTCCTTAGGCAACCTGGTGGTCCCCCGCTCCCGGGAGGTCACCATATTGATGCCGAACTTAGTGCGGACACCCGATCGGCATAGCGCACTGCAGCCCAGAACTCCTGGACTCAAGCGATCCTCCTGCCTCTGCCTCCCGAGTAGCTGGGACTACAGGCGCGCGCCACCACGCCCGGCTGAAAAAGATTTCTTGAGTGAAGCAGAATGTGGTTAGAATATGTACATTTTTTAAGCTCCCAAGTGATCAATCACTAGGTCCAAGTTTAAGAACAACTGGTGTATGACCAAATCTAGCCCTGGATTATGTACTGGCATATATTTTTGTGTAAATTTAAGTCTCTTCTCAGTAGATTTTAAGCATATTAAGCATATAAGTAGAATTGTTCTTTTACACAGTCTATTGCTAAATTTTTAAATGAAAACACTATTTGAAGGTGGTAAAGTTCCCAAACCAGTCCATGAAAGCCTGAAGACCAACATAGCTCCCACCCACCAATAGCAAACAAAATTCCGTTGGGATACTGACTTGTTCATATTTCGCACTTGCGTGTCACTTGAGTTTATAGTTCCCATGACCTGGGACAGAATCAGATAGAGGAGCAGGAAAGAACCAAGTTCCAACTAAAGGGAGATCAAAAACTTGGGGAGAGGAATTGAGGAATGTGCTAGAGAGAAGGACAGGAAGCAGCCGAGATGAGAGCACCTGAGCAGATGGCAAACAGAGACTGGCTGGTCAGGAGGTCGCTTACATGAACCTCCTGGGGAGAGTTTTAAATGAACTAATTCATATCCATGCTCAGCCCCAGAGTTTTAACGGATCTAGGTAGGACATGGGCACCTGCACATTTTTGAAGACCTCAGAGACTACACTGTGCTGGAAAGCTGAGGCCTACCACTGCAGAGACTGACTGGTGCCTCCCGCTGACTTCGCACTAGAAATACAGCATTGTTGGGAGAAAGGGCCATGCCCAGCCACAGCCCACAAAGTGACTCTTGGCTGCCAAACTAGCAGTAAACAGAGGGGAGGGAGGAAGAGAAGAGCTTGGTAGTAGGCAGGGAGCAGGAAAGGAGATTCTAGTGCCATGCATAGCTAGCAGCAATCATGCATAAGGATGTAAATCAGGAGCAACCTGTACATTTCTGGAACTGTTAAATTTTCTGGAACAAAGCAGGACATAGGGCAGGTTACTGTCAAATGACTGATGGTTTTGTGAAGATAGTGCTAATGCCTTGCTTTTTGCTCAAATGTTCTTCTGCTACCAGTTATCTCAAAGAAGCCCCCACTGCATTAGTAGAAAGCATGGAGGTTATTACTTTGCATCACCAAGGAAGAGGGTGAGATGCCCACACAGATGTGGGGTGCCTCCCATGGTAAACCTTTGTGTGTGTGTAAGAACTGGAGTGTAGGCCAGAGGTGTAGGAATGAGAAGG